AGTCTTCAACACCTAAGTCAGATCTGACCTTGAACAGTGTTGTCAGTCCGTGAAGCCTAGCAGGAATTTAACAGAACTTAGAAAAAAATAAAAAAATCTGTGAATGACAAATTGTAAAAAATACTTGCTTTTTATTAGTAATCCTGCAGAAGCAACAATAGAAGAGGAAGGCATCTTTTTACAAGTTGTAGATAGTTCATTTGAAATACTTGTAGTAGCTTCTATGCAAATTATAAATGAACCAATTTCTTAACATGTAGTATGTTATGGGGAGAAAAAAACCTGTAGTGACACACTTTGTGAAAGATTTTTATTTAGTGTTTTCAAAGTGTGTTTTATCGTTGTGTCTAATAATACACAGAAATTATTTATACTTACATGGTGATGTTATCTACTGAGGGCACAAAAGTGAAAAATGGATGCCCATAATACTAGGAAGTGAGGAACAGCAGCAAACAGGGAAAAAGGAAGAGCCTGTGGTGGAGAGGTGAACTGTGTTTAGGAAAAGACTTTTCTCCCCACAAGTGCTGCTTGAGACAATATAGGGAAAACATTTTGTGAACTTGCACACTGTTATTGCACCCTTGATGGCCGGGCGCGGATGGTGAGAGGCTGTCGGCTAAGCTGCTTCCATGTGGAGAACAGGCTATGGAGTATGTGCAGATCCTTTCCTTTGGCTGCTGTTGCTTCTCGTAGGGCTGATATGCACTTGTGCAAGCCTATCTGAACCTCTAGATGTTGTAACCTTTGCCAGGCCAGCAATTTTTAAAACTCATTTATATTTGTACGGCTATTATGAACTTAAAGGGAATGTTATTCTGAGCAGCTCATTGTAAAATACTGTGCAAATGTAAATTGTGAAAGCATAAATATTTGTACAAGTCAAATTTATGGAAGCTTTCTCTCATATTCTACATATAATGTCGAAATGTTGTTTAGATGTAGCTAGATGTATGTAATTACGTGTGATTCAGTGAAAGTTCTGAAAATGTCTGTTTGCAAAGCTGCTCTGCTTTACTCTAGTGAGTTTATCTGCCCTTATTAGGACTTTAAAGAAGAGGCAGTAGTAGGACAGTAGACAGATTGGCAAGATATTGAAGAAGTAGTTTGCTTCCCCTTCCTTCATCTCATGGAAAGATAAATATCTGAAGGATTAAGACTTAAATGCATGTATGGATCTCTTAAAGTATTGTGGATACATGGCTGCGTGTATGTTAAGGCATACTTTATTTTAATGATTAGCACAGTTAATTAAATCTCCACAGGCCTTGTGAACTGTCATCCAAACAAAATGCAGTTTAATGGAATGTGGCTTAAGTCCTTTTAGATCATTGACTTAACATCCTGTAATGATATTTATCGAACTGTTAAGTATATTGCCTACATATTTAACATGCAAGACCCTCATCCATCTTCTGTTTGCACCTACATAATCTGTATTTTATACTGTTGAGCAGCCAGAATGTGCATGGTTAGGCTATTCATAAAGAGTTATGTACTGTATAGAAACCAACTGGATATTGAATCTTTTAGAATTCAATATTATGGCCAGTAGCTGCATTTGAGTGAAACTGGATAACTCCTGAGTCCTGCTAACTGTATACAGAATTACTCTGTAATTACCATAATTTCACGTTAAATGAAATCTCTCTCTTTAGCTCCTTTATCATAGGAGATGAATTTATTGGTAACTAAAGGTGGTGGATAAAAGCATGGAAGTTGAATGACTTTAATTTTTCTGTTACAGTTGTTCAAACAGACTAAGTTTTATTTCTTCTTTCTTTTCCCTGTTCCTTTTCTTTTACTTGTTTCTTCCATTCTCTCCTCCCATGACTAATATTATTTTTTTTAACTTGCCAACCCTTTTACATGTACCAGGTTTCCTGTGTGCTTTTTCAGGCTTGCTCTTGGTTCCCCATGTTTCTCAAGATGCTTCTGCATCTCTGTGCAAGGGAGCAGTGCACAGAGGGCTAAACTCCTAATGTGCCTTCTACCTGCATGGTCTCCTTCTGTTAAAGGAGACAAATTCGTGTTTTAAATGACATTTGTACAGATGCTGTTTCACTTTTTTAAGACTTGCCTAGTTTATGAAGTGTAACACATTCAAAACGTGTTTGAATCATTTTTTTCCCCATATATTAGGATCAGTTTGGGGTGTATTTCTGTAGCTTTTTTATCCTGTCTTTGAATTTTTCTTGTACTTACCTGTTTTTGTTCTTGGAACAGCAGAGACAATGCCCGTATTGCTGACTAGTTAGGATAGGCTTACATCTTGCCTTCTGGCTTGTCCTAAGCACCTGTCCCAAGTTTTTTCCTCTCTTAAAAAACAAATAAAACCTATATGAACGCTCTGTTATTCCTTTCCTGATTGTGCATATGGAATAATACTGGATTTCTGATAGCTTTGCATATAACTTTTCTAAAACTTCACTTATAACAATGTCATTGGGGTTAGTTGTGTTGAATATCAGAGAAATTTGAAATATTCATTTCTCTTTCGAAATATCTATCATCTTGCATGGTATTCCGAAAGCAGGCACAGTTACTGCCTTCTTTTGGCAGAGCTGCCCATCTGTATCTCACCACGGCTGCCACCCCCCGCCAAGGGACACTGCTCTGTGCCAGGAGCTTTTGCTCTTTTGTGGTAGCCGGGATTCTGTGGTAAGGAATTTGGGACGTGTAAATTTGAGTCAGGTTGAAAGGCAGCACATATCAACCAGAGAAACTACTGACTAAAAAGGAAGGTTCATTTTGATAATTTCTAATTATATCAGCAGTCTTGTATTTCATGGGGAGGACAGATCTTTCAGGTAGCTCTTGTCCAGATCATAATGTTCAGTTTCTACCCAGAACCATAGATGCCACTGGAGCTTCTTATCCAACTCACACGTGGCCAATTTTCTATGTCAGCCAGACACCTCACCCCGACCACAACATATGAGTTTTGTCCTTCAGGTTATTTCAAGCTGCTTTGCACTGCAGTTGATCTAACATTTCTCTGCAGACAAAAGAGAGATTTGATCCCCAGTTTCCTAGTCCCAAGTCCTCCCCTTGAAGCTTGTCACATGCTTTTCAAGACCAGTTGAGCTGCTTTTCCCAAGTTGGTGAGCCTGCTGCAGCAAAGCATTAGGAACATCCTTGGATGGAGAGGAAGGGACTCTGTTGGCTGTGGTGAGCTGTTGACATGGCCCAAGTTGTGATATGTAACTCTCTGTCGCAGCTGGGAACCGTAAAGGAGAGTCTGCCTTGAACAGCAATAGAAGTGAACTTGGCTGTATTTTCTGTGCCTTTTTGGGGAGATCTGCACTTACTGTCATGAGTTTATCAATAAATATAAAGAGGATCAAGGTAGCATCGTGTTTTCCTGGTAGAATTAGAAATACTTCAGCGTGTTTTCTTCCCCATTCACCTTTTTTACTTAAATTACAGTTAAGTAGTGCTCAGTTCAGCTACCATCTCTATGCAGATGCAGAGATGACAGTCATAAAGTTGGTGAACTTTTGTGGAGCTATTAAGTTGCATGGCATATTATGACTGTCTAGTGGCCTTAGTGCAGGTAGTGATGAGGGGACACCGTTGGCCTCAAACAGAAGAAAGATGTTTAAATGAGCAGAAGGGCCTCATCCAGGGATGCTCAAGGGAATGATGAGAGAAGAAAAAAACAAGAGCAGTTGTGATGTATTAAAGATGGCTTATATTGAAAAATAGTAGTATTGGTAAAGGTACTCTGATGTTTGACATGACAATTCATGAAGACAGCTGACTTGCTGACTTCTTACTTTTATCCCTAAATGACCTCCTGCAATTAAGAAAAGTGGATGATGATTATTTAATGTAGGGTTGCTTTTTTCAGAACTAGTTTCATAAATGTTTCTTAAAACTACTGCCTTTCTGGTGAACTCATGTCTGATAATATTCATTTTTATCATTTTTCCCATTTTAGATGAAGTGGGTTGTGATTATTTAAATATCAGTGTTAACTTTAATTTTGCAGAAGGTCAGAAAGGTTGAGGGAAAATCTGTAAGTGAGTACAAAAAAGGTACAATGGACTGTGTTTCCTATTCCAGTTTTCTCTGTGTAGCACGACTTTACCTTGGGGGCCAGTAAGTCTAAATTATGGCAACCTACTCCATCGTGTTCCAGAACACGTTGCTATCCTGTCTTTCTTTGTTGGATTCTCTTTGACTTTCTGTTATAATTTTGAGAAGATCTGGTATTTTTGTAGCTTCTCCTTGTGTAGTAGCTTGGTATAAGTAGGAAAATCACACCAGCCTCCTGTGCAGTGCAACTTGGCATGGTTCAAGGTGGATTAGGAGGTATGTTGTACCTACAGCAGATCAAAGGGACTGAGGAAGTGGGTAGTGAGGAGGCCTTTGTAAGTGAAGCTTAGAAAGAAGATATTATTGCTTGTTTGCAGCTTATGTTTAAAAGATTGGATTTATAGCATAGAGGAAAGCCTTCCACTTAGCTTCAAATTATAACTAGTGGTATGTTTAAAACAAATAAATAAAAGCACTGCACTAAATGAAAGCTGCTTAACTGTTCTGGGAAACTGCTCCAACTGTTTGGAAAACAGTCACCTTCAGTGAAATGGTCTGAGGAAAACCCAAGGCAGTCTTGGGGTTGTTATTACCAAGTGATGGTAGTTCTTCACCCAGTAAGATGCAAGATTCTTAGTTCTCTCTGTACGAGTGATTATCAAATACATTCAGGGGTTGAGGGATTCTGACTTTTCCATTATGTATTTTTTGAAAGCATAACTCTAATACAGGTCAGTCTATCTGAATGTCAAGACTCGTCCTGTCTACTGAAAATAGACAAAAAAAATCCTTTGTCTTTTTTTAAGTTTTTTTTTGTGTGTGGGGGCGGTTCTGTCTGTATGACTTCTTGGTCATATTTGGGCCCTTCAGATTCATCTAGTTATTTCCCCAGGTAGGACAGATACAGTAGGCATAAGCTAACAGGATGACACTGACTTGCATTTCTTTTTCCCCAACAGATCTAAAATTGTGAAATCATGGCTCATTCGAAGACGAGAGCCAACGATGGAAAAATCACATATCCTCCAGGAGTCAAAGAAATCTCTGATAAAATATCTAAAGAAGAGATGGTGAGAAGGTTAAAGGTTAGTAAGATAAAAATAACAGTAGAGCTTTGAATGCAGACTGACATTTCTTGTATACAGCATTCACTGATCCCATTATCGTATTTCATATCTAAAAAGATTTTTTTCCCCCTTTTGGCTTTGCAACAAAAGTTCTTTGTTGCACTCCAAGTGTAAAGTACAATAGCCCAAAATTCTATTCTGCCACAAATACTCCTTAAAATTTATTTCATCTCCTTTATAAGGTTGATGCTTTTAGAAATGAAAGTACTAGAAAAGAAAGTCTTAGTTTTGGAAATAATATGGCTGCATGGGCGCATGTTCTTATGCATTCCTGCTTCTCATGAGATGGTTTACAAAGCCCACTTCATTCTGGTTATTTTAATCTCTATCATATAGTCAGGTCTTGGTGATTATACTGTATATTTCTGTTTCCTGAACTTCTTTACCTGTTTTGACCTAACTATAGGAAGAATGGACAGAGGAGAGATTTGGAGGGATAATTGTGTGCCTACAGATTTTTATTTGACCATCTACTTGCACAAAAAGACAGGTCAATTTAGTGATCTAAAGAGGAAATGCCTGCAAGTTGTGCTTTTCCTCTGAAATGAAATGTGAGGGAACGGATGTGGGATAGGGACCCTAAATATCCTGACAACTAGGAAAAGCTCCATTTGGAGTTTGCGTTGCCTTAAGAAGTAGATTTAAGTCAGTAGGAACTACTGTGCGTCTCCTAACGCACCAGAGCTGTTCCTGCCCTTTTTATGCTTTGGGATTTTTGTTGTTAGTGGTGGTGTGTGTTTGCTTTTCTCCTCAGTATGGCCTCTCTCCTATGTTGAATAGAGGGAGGCATTTATGATTTTATGTATAAGAGACTTCTATTTTTCAGGACCTTAACACGCACATAGCTTCTTACTGATACTGATTTCTCATACAGTTTTGTTGAATTTTTGGCTATGAATGTACAGTCCCTTGTCCTCTTCCATCTTGCCCCTTGCAGGAGAAGTGAGCTTTGCAGGATGCCCTGTAGTCCTCGCTCAGCTGGCTGTGCTGGCTGTTTGTTAAGAAGGGAACATGGTTGTGCAGGCTTGTGTATCTTCATATACAGACTAATAAAGTACTTTTTGATAAGCTATATAATTATAGCAAAGCTTATTACTGTAGGGTAATGCCTACATTATGAGCAGGATGGGTTAAGAAATTTTAAGCAAATCTAGAAGAAGCTGCTAGAGTTTTCATTGTGTGGTCTCTGTGCATTTCCTTTCTGAGGAATCCTCTAACTTGTTGATTTGCGAGAAGCTAGAAAAGTGTGGTAGGAGAATTAACTTGTTTTTCTATGTGTTTTGTTTGTTTGTTTGTTTTTTCCCTATGGCAGACGGCTTTGAAGATAAGGTGGCTAATTAGTTGCGCTGAGCATGAAAGTTCATGTTATTAGGAAAGAAAAAAATAACATACATTTCTAGAGTTGACATTAAACCATTCTCCTTAAAAGAACCATTACGGCACCTGAATATTTGTTACCCTATTAATTAATTATACACTTTTAAATTGCTTTCTCTATTGGTGAACACCGTTATTCCTTGCTGACAGTATTGTGGGCAATCTCCTGGCTAGTTAGGAAGGATGTTTTCTCTTAATGGAAGTTATATCTGTGTGTAAGTTATTTTTTTTGCCCTTTACTAAAGGCTACTCTACTAATATGTTTTGAAAAGCTTGTAGCTGCTACGATGCTAAGTATACAGGAGACTTTTAAAATAGGATGTATCCCTGTTTGATCAGACTTTGATTTTAATTTTCAGGATTGTGTAGTTCGGCCATTATTTTTCACAAAACTTGAGTGAGTTGGTCTCTTTAAAGTAACTAGTTTCTTGTTTGAATCACAGAGTTGCAATTACCTGTGTCAGTACTTTCCCCTACAGTAAGTTTTAAATACAAGAATTCTCACTAACTAGCAGTAACTAATTATGTTTTTTTTCCTACTGGGTCTTTTTAGTCTATTTAGGGTGTAAAATGCTTGATATGGCCTGAATTTCCACCGCCTCCTCACCGCCATAACATAGTCCACTGGATCCTGATCCTAATTAATATTTTTAGTCCTGTCAGATAGCAGTCATGCTGCTGGCCAATACTAAAACTTTATTCATATATTTCTTTTGTTGAAATTCAATGTGATTTGCTTCTGTTCATGAGCTGTACAGGTGAGAAACTTGCACTCAGAAGCTGTGATGGAAAAACATATCCATCCTGTGAAAAAAATAAACATAACTTTCAACTTGTGTTCAAACAAGTACTACTGTTTTGTTAATAATATTTAGCCCATTGCTAGAGCTTAGGATACTTCTGGTAGATGTTACAGAACTGCAGAAAAAGCTTTTAGTTATGACCCTTCAGAATCTTAAATTAGTGCACTGAGATCTTCCTTTCTTTATAGATGGTTGTGAAAACTTTCATGGATATGGACCAGGACTCTGAAGAAGAAAAGGAGCTGTATCTAAATCTTGCCTTACATCTTGCTTCAGATTTTTTCCTCAAGCATCCTGATAAGGATGTACGTTTGCTGGTAGCATGTTGTCTTGCTGATATTTTCCGAATTTATGCTCCTGAAGCTCCGTACACTTCACCAGATAAACTAAAGGTAAATTGAATTGATCTGTTTTTCCGCAGCTTTTTATTCTATATTTTTTATGAATGAATGATGTAATTGATTTTAAAAAAAAAGTATTGATTTTTCTCTTCAACTTGAGTTTTTTTCCTGACTTTTGCTTGATTGTGGGGTAGTAGTATTCTGTTGGGTCAAATGTTCACTAGATAAAGTGAAAAATATATATATGTGTGTGTGCATGTGCGCGTACAGCTTTTGGTAACATGCAGAGTTTTGGATTTACATTGAAAAATAGATATTTTATTGAACTATCCTTGGGATTAGCAGGAAATGGGCTAGTTTGTTAGCCCAGCGTTAGCAATGCTGACAAGTTCTTTAAAGGATCTCTTGCAAGGTTGCTTTGCAAAATCTCATTGTTTCCAGTTAAACTACCTAAAGGTGGTTAATGTGTTTTAATAGATAAGTGGTACTGAAGGCAAGAAACACAATTTTTGTTTAGAGAATAATTTATTTCCGATATGAATTGGAGAATTTTGCAGTTACAGTATCTCTGATCCCACTACATGGAGACGGTTAATTGAGAAATGCCAACTTTGAGAAGATGCTTCTTTTGTTAGAGGTTTTTTTACTTTGTTTTTTTTTTTTTTTTAGTAGAAAACTTACATTTTTTCCAGCTCTTAATTGACCAACTTCTGAATCTAGACTGGTGGACTCGTTCCTATAGGAAATCTTGCAGGGGAAAATGCCCTGAAAAGCTTGTGGCTCTTACTGTCATGTCTCCCTCTTCTGAGAATCTCTTGCTGAGCAGGAGAAACAAATGGTTGTGTGAAAGGTGCATCTGTTAGGGTGGAAGAAATCACTTAAGTTTTGATGCAGGGGTAGCACCACAAGTGCTTTATGAGAAAGATGAGCAATACAGGTTCAGCTGTAATACACACCTTGTTTAGCTGACATACCAGGAGAGAGAATTTTACGGATCTGTTAACTTTTTCTTGATGCTTAATGATCGCATCTCTAATTGCGTGCTTAATTACAGCATTTACAACTAAAGTCAAATGTTAACTTTCCCTCCCAAGTTATGTTTAAGTCTTGTCTTTGAGCCTTCCTGTTTTTTCCTTCAGTTTTGATTTTATATTTTTCTTACCTTAATAGTATTATCCTTCTTTTTTTTTTCTTCCCCTCTGTCTGAATTGGCATAGCATTTTTCCATGATACCTTTTTTCCCAGATACCTTACCAAAACTGGGTTAGGAAATGCTAACAAGTTTTAAGTGTTACTGTATGTCATCTTGAAAGGTTCACGTTACTGATCTTGCACTTTTGCTTACACTGCAAATTTTACAGCCACTTGGGTGGAGCTGTAAACAGACCGGGAAGTTCTGTCAGAATTGGTTCTGTAATCTGTACAGAKTTCTAAATGCATTTTGAGAAAATTTAAAAAAAGATGGATAGAAGAGACCTTGCATATTGGTGCTGAGGTAGAGTATTGCAAACCAGCCTCCACTGAAGGTAGCTTTTGTGGTTGTAGGACAAGCAACAAATGTTGTTGCAAGATACAAATGTTGAAGAGTTCCTCCATTTATGAGAAGAGGTAAGAGGAAGAGTTTTTCCTCTTGGCTCATTTTGGCATCATTCAGTATTTAGTATTTGTATCCTCCCTGCAGCCTTAAGAGTCTCCTCTTGTATGTTTACGTACCCAAGTTGGAGAAGGAACGTGCTGAAGAGGATAGTTTTGAGAGGGGAAGATGTCAATTTGGAATTTTTTGCCCTTGCCTGACTATTCAGGTCATCTTGTATCGYTTTGCATGGTGCATAATTTGTAAAGAGAGCTGGATCACAACTGGAATAGCTACACTCTTATGTGTTTCTTCAGTATAAATCATGAGTTCCTCACAACATGGAAAGAACTTTGTCAGCAAGGATGGAGAATGCCACGAGAAGGCCAAAAGTAGAACTGCACCGAGACTGGGCTTCACGTGGAACCCTCTTTCATGAGGGAARGCAAGATGCTCTAATCACTGCTCTGGGTCAAAGAGAAACATTTTCATAGAATCCTTAAGGTGGGAGGAACCTTTAGAGATCATCTAGTCCAACCCCCTTGCACACACAGGGTCGTTYTCTCTTGTGTAGAGTCTGCCCAGCTCAGCTGAAATGGAGATGCTACTGGCTGTGCACAGTGGCAGAATTTCAGGAATATGAGGGTGTTCTGTGGTGAAGGCTACGACTTGCATGCACCCTGAAGCTTTCATGTGCTTAAGTGAGGGTTTTTCTCTGGATTGATGTCTTGATACCAATGCTCTGCCTAAAGTGAAGCCTAAGCACCTGTGTTTTTAGGCTTTGGACTTCAATGCATACTTGTTTTGTGGCGTCCGGTATGAACCGTGTTGTCTTTCTTTATAGAAAGGTTGTGATTTCTTAGCTGCAGCCTAAGTTAATGCTATGTTTGGTGTGTATAAATGCATTTTCAGATGCTGTATTCTAAGTAGTAGTGTACAATAAGTATTCAAAATTAGGCAGTACTTTTGATGTTGGTCTGTTCTAATTCCTGTAGAATAGGAACAAATTACCATGTTTTCAGATGATGCTGTTACTCTTTGTGAAGCACTCAAATGCTATATTGCATATGTGTGYTGTACATAGAATTATAGAATCATAGAATCATAGAATGCYKAAGGTTGGAAGGGACCTCAGAGGTCATCGAGTCCAACCCCCCTGCTCAYGCAGGGTCACCTAGAGCACGGGGCACAGGGCTGCATCCAAGCGGGTTTTAAAGATCTCCAAAGAAGGAGACTCCACAACCTCTCTGGGCAGCCTGTGCCAGGCTTTAATTATCATTAGATGGATATTAACATTAATATCCCTGATGGATACAATACAGTAATGTATGCCTTATCTGTAAGGAAAAATAATTTTGGTCTCAGTACAAGCTTTGAATTAGTTCCGCATAGGGAGGAGCGGGATTAGAAATATTCAGAGGTGCAGTCTGTATTTCTCTGGAATTTCACAGGGTCTCTTGGCTACCAGCTCCCGGGGCTCATGTCGGGGAGCCTACTTGGGGTTTAGGCCCTACATCAAAGGGGAGRTGGGAGAGCTGCTTTGGGCTGGTTTTGCCTGTGCCGTGGGTGCTCCTCAGGACTGGAGCCCATTTCATGTCCCCTTTGGGCTGTATCCTCTGCTTTGCTCTCAGTGTAAGAGTCACCTCCATGTGCTCTGCGGCCGATCTGCAGCGTGAACCCAACAGGGATAAGCAGATGATTGCCTTCAAAAGCCCATTTTGATCCAAAGCCTCACATGGGCTTAGCTGCACCTTTGAACGGTGTCCTCACTGTGGTTTTCCGCCACAGGAAGATACTGTCATGCCTAATTTTGATGTGGTTAGGCTGTACTAAACACTAGACGTATTAAGGTGGGATTATGTGATTGTAGCTGTGGGAAGAGGGACTGTGTTCCCTTCCTTTATCCAGCTGCTCATCCTCCAGGTAAGGTGAGGAGGAAGACAGTGATGCCAATGGCCCTTGGTGAATGTTTGTTCTACAAAACTTTATAGACTCAAGCTGTTTATGCACATTTAAATATGTGTGAAAGTTTGTTAATTATGTGAAATCTGCTTTATATTTAAATTTCTTTTCTTCCTGTGGATCCCTTTTTCAAGGTCGACTGTAAGGCTTTCATATATTTACTATGGTAACTTTATGCCTTTGGAAATTATTAAAAGGTAAAATTGTCCTTACCTCTAACTGAAACTTCAGTCTGTCGTTTGGAGGATTTTAATTTTAAAATTGAAACTTAAAAAATGAACTTGAAGGTAGGAATTTGTTTTATATCTATATATAGATAATTAGGTAAAATATTGTGGAGAGAGTTGAGTCATAAAGACTGTTCTTGAATGATGGGGAGGTGTGCCTCTGAGTCTTGTTTTTATAAAGTGGTTATGAATTTGCAACCATTGGCTATCTTAATGCAGAAATGATTTTATAACAATAACTTTCTGTATGTTTTTATTTTGTTCATGATTTATTTTTTGTTGCTTACTACCTTATTGATTATATTATTGTGTGAGACATTTCTCATACTGAAAGTTATTTTTTAAAAAAAAAAAATAGGCATGACAAGTTTGCCAGTTTTTTTTTTTTTTTTGCAAGAGGCGTGGTCTGTTTCAGTAGAAAAAAATTGTTTAGAGTAATGATTAAGAAATGCACAAATGCTACCATATAAGTCTGTTATAGAACTTGGGAAAGCTGCAGTTGGCTGTTATTTTTTTTTCGCTTCTTGCCCCCTTTTCAAAACTGTTATAAAATGAAACTGTAAAACTCGTTGTTCTCTTAAATAATATTGTATCCTATGTAGCATATCAGGTGGATGTTACTGTATTGACAAGTGAAATGCTTTCCTTTGGAACTGCTTCCTAAAACTTTTTTAAGAAGTTGACACATTCTAACATTACTTCTTGATGTTCTTCCTCATGTTGTATAAATCTTGTTTTGGACAGTGAAATGGTATTTCTGACATGACTGTGTCTTGTGTCGAGTAATAYTAGCAATTAGAAATGCTGATAGCAGTGAGAAATAATTTCTTACATTTGTTAAAGTTCGTGATTGAATAAATATCACTTTTTTTTTTTAATTTTCAGGATATATTTATGTTCATAACAAGGCAACTAAAAGGTTTAGAAGATACAAAAAGCCCCCAATTTAATCGCTATTTTTATTTACTTGAGGTGAGTTTCATAATTTCCTGTTTCCTAAGTAAGTTTTAAATGTATGTAGTTTTTAAACTTATGTATTAACTACCTCTCCCTCCCTTTTTGTCCAAAACAGAATATTGCTTGGGTGAAGTCTTACAACATATGCTTTGAATTAGAAGAYAGCAATGAAATTTTTACACAGTTGTACAGAACACTGTTTTCAGTAATAAAGTAAGTACTGTTGTCCTAACTATAATATATTATGTATATGTGAGATGAGATGTTTTGAACATGCAAGTTCAAACCTATTGTGTGACTGTAGCATTAACAAGAAGGGCTTAGTTGAGATATTCCAGTAGTGGAGGTTAAATAAAGGTAGCAGCCTAAATGTGGCAGACTTCTGTCACAAAAACAGGCAGATTTCTGCCTGTTTTRAATATTGTGACAAGATTAGCTGCAAGTACCTTGTTTTACAAGGAATTTACTTTATTTGTCTCTTATTGCGTTTACTTGGCTTTATTCTTGAAATGCCAAATGGRTGGCACAATATGCAGTTCATGAGGCCTTCATAATTTTATAGCAAGAATACTCTAAATCCCAGAATGGAGATTGGAAGGGGCCTCTGGAGATTCACAGAATCACAGAATATTTAAGGTTGGAAGGGACCTCTAGAGATCATCTAGTCCAACCTTCCCGCTCAAGCAGGCACACCTAGAGCATGTGGCACAGGGTGGCATCCAGGCGGGTTTGGAAGACCTCCAGAGAAGGAGACTCCACARCCTCCCTGGGCAGCCTGTGCCAGGGCTCTGGCACCCTCACAGGCAAGAAGTTCCTCCTCACCTGGAGACGGAACTTCCTGTGCTCCAGCTTATGGCTATTTCCCCTTGTCCTATCGCTGGCCCCCAATGAAAACAGCTTGTCCTCTTCTTCCCTACATTCTCCCTTCCTGAGCTTATACACATTAATTATATCCCCTCTGAGCCTTCTCTTCTCCAGAGAAAACAGGCCCAGCTCACTCAGCYTCTCCTCATATGACAGATGTTCCATTCCCTTAATCATCCTGGTTGCTCTTCTCTGGACCCTCTCGAGAAGCTCCACGTCCCTCTTATACTGGGGAGCCCAGAACTGTCCCCAGTACTCCAGGTGCGGCCTCACSAGAGCTGAGCAGAGGGGCAGRATCMCCTCCCTTGACCTGCTGGCAACATCCTCCTGATGCAGCCAGGATSCCATTGGCCTTCTTGGCCACGAGGGCACAYTGCTSMCTCATGGTTAACTTRGTGTCAACCAGGACTCCCAGGTCCCTCTCCGTGGAGCTGCTYTCCAGCAGGTCTAGCCCTAATCTGTMCTGRTGCCTGGGGTTATTCCTTCCCAGGTGCAGGACCCTGCACTTGTCCTTATTGAACCTCATGAGGTTCCTCTCTGCCCAACTCWCCAGCCTGTCCAGRTCCCTCTGAATGGCAGCACAGCCCTCCAGTGTGTCGGCCGCTTGGCTTGTCCAACTYCCTGCTCAAAGCAAGGTCAGCTGGATCAGGACCTGGAGCTGTGTCCAATTTCCCAGGAACCTTATCGAGATCTGTGCATCTCCTAGGATTTCCATAACCTCTCTAGGAAACCTCTTCCAATGTTTGATCACTTTTCCGGTGAAGAAGTTTTCTTTCATATGTTCGAGTGAAATTTCCTATAGTTGAACTTGTGGCTTTTGCCTCCCATCCTTTCATTGGCTCCWTTTGCTGGCTTGTCTCCCATCAGGTATTTACACACAGTGATGAGATCTCCTCTTTGACTCCCCATATCCTGAGCCTTCCCTTCTCCAGGTTGAATGGTCTCAGCTCATCCTCAGGAGAGGATGGGGTGTGCCAATAGGCCGTATTATGCTCCAATGTTATTTTCCAAGGGACAGATACAGTCATCTTTCAATATAATAGCAAGTGGAGAGGAAATGAAAATTAGAGTAGTTTGGAAAAKGGGATATACAATCCAGAAACCTCAGTAGTTTGACTTCTAAAAACACTTCTTATTTGGTTATTATGCTCCAATGTTGTTCAGCATTACGTGAGTACTCTGAATGGAAATTGTACTTCATATGAATATTATACTAAATTYGTGTTTTTAATTTCAGCAATGGTCATAATCAGAAAGTGCACATGCACATGGTTGATCTTATGAGCTCTATCATCTGCGAGGGAGATACTGTGTCACAAGAACTTTTGGATACAGTTTTAGTTAATCTGGTGCCAGCACATAAGGTAAGACTTAATAGTGATTTAACTCTCTGGTARTCATGATAAAGGTTTATCAAATACATGTATTTAGTTATGTAGACTTCACTCAGAGAATAGCTGTAACAAGTAAATTCCTATTATTATATTGTRTTATGCAGTCATATGAGTTGGTACATGCATTTTGGAAATGTGGTTTGGGCTATTAGAATTTCACAATGATATGTCCTTTGGAAATTATCATTCTAAGTGTGAAGCGTGGGGAGAGGTTTTGTAATAGGTGATTTACAGTTAACTCTATCTCAACTAACTGACATAGTTTCAGATATGGCAGTGACTTTGTGTCATTGGAAGCACATTGGTGTGTTTGGTGTATCTGTAGAAGTAACTGTGTTCAGAAAGTCTGCTGCAAGAAGAGCCAAAATGATGGGAGTCTTGCCTTAGTAAGTAGTACGAAGAGGGAAAATGTCATTCTAGTGACCTGAGAAAGAACTTCAGACTTTCTGTGTCATGACATTTTAGTTAAAAGCAATGAAGTCTGACTTATCTGTTCAGGAAAATGTTTGGATTCTGCTGCAATCTCTTGGGCTACAGGTTAAAACTAGCAAATATGTGCCTAACTGGATGCTGGCTGTCCTCTGACAGCACTCTTCCTGAATAGTCTGTGTGTGTGTGTGTGTGTGTGTGTGTGTGTGTGTGGTGGTGGTTCCTTTTTTTCTCTTTAAAGTTAAATTTGGGAAAGAGTTGAGGTGTTTTTTCCCCCCTCCCTTCATTGGAGAAATTGAAAGGCTTTTTGTAAGGTGCCCTTGAAAGAGTATAGCTAGAGGCATAACATCATGTACCTTGCCAAAAGTTYTTAAATTCTGTCAATGGAAAAATAACTTAAGCTGTTTATTTACTATGCAGGACTAATTGTGCAATACTGACCAGGGACTTGCTTGATCAGAAAGGTTTTGTGCCTTCAGGGATCCTAGTACTGCTARTAGTAGTGCCAAAGCCAGAGACACATTTACTCACCTAAACTCAGAATTACAAAGTAAAGTCAGAATACAACAAACGTAATTGTGAAATGGGTTACTTGGTATTTTCTCAGTTGTGTTTATTGTGTTTCATAGTATCCTGTGTTTTAATTGATTATATAATGGGTGTGAGGATGTGTGGGTTTTTTTTATGATTCAGGCTTACTAAAGTGGTTATAARCTGAGGAACCTTTGTCTGATCATATTGGGTATAGCATTGAAACAGTTTGGTTTTACAGCAGATCTAAAGCTATCGATTAGGAGCTTGTTAACAKGATAAGGCATTTTGGCTTTTACATTTTCTTCTGTGATCAAAACTTTGGCTGTATGGACAAAATACTGGTCTGTAGTCTGTAAGTGAAGTTAAATAACTGAAGAAGATTCATGATCTTGATTCATGTTCTGAACACTTCTTCCTTCCTTTCTGTGTTTTGTATTTTTACCTTTTCCACCCAGTGGAAAGAAGMTTCTTTTTTATTCTTGCTTCCTCTCAGTATCTTTAAATTACTCTTTTGATTAGTGTGTGTTAATTGAAGCCTTGGGAGCTCACACATACAGAAAGTGTTCAGATAATGTCATATTGGAAAAGTAGGAAAATGAAGTCAGAATGGGAATATCTCAAGTCTTTTCCTTTGAACACAGAGCTACAAGGTACATAACGGTAAGGGCTGCACTTCCAAAAACTGTGTGTTAGGTGGCTTGACTGCCAAAAAATGTATTTCTAGAAATCAGATTCACCACCAAAAATGGCATAATGGAAGGTTTTGATGAAATGGCAAATAGGAAATTTGTGTCTAGCTGGAAATTCTGKATGCAGAAAGAAATATCGTTTATGGAGTGCAAGAAGTATAGATTTCTTATTCAGACTTGAAAATTATCAGATTGAGAGAGTGTTGTTTTTAAGATTACCAAGCACATGGTGAGTGACAGAGGTAAATAGTGTATTTTCAGTACAGCCAGAAGTGCAGTAGAGACTGGAGTGCACCTGTGAGCCRAATGCCTCTGTTCTGGAGAGTAGTGATACGGGTGATATAACTTCTGGTGAATGAACTTTAATATTGGCTATTGACAAACGCTTCTGAGGCTAAAGACTAGAGGAACTGACTTATGTACTTTATCAAAAGAGTAGTCTGTATATATTTATTACTTATTATGAACAGAAGCTTTAGACAGTTCTCTAGTATGAATCCTTGCTGCCAAGATTCAGTAGTTTTACCTCAAAATCAATATTATAATAGACAAATCAATATTATGTGAATATTTTTAAGAGTAATGGTAACTAACTTGAACAATAAATTAAGGGTGAAGTCTTTACTGCTCATATCTTTTAAAATTAAGGTTAATATTTCTCTTTATAGAAATCCAGATATAGGCCTTACTTGTGTGTAGTGTGGTGCTAACTGGTGTAGAGCTGAACGCCAGTGACTGATGCTCATGTCACAAGTCAAGTACRTTAGCGTGTGCGCTGGCTCGCTTGCTGGCCAGAGCAGATGTCTGATAATTCAATAAAATGTCAAACCTCATTTCCTCACCATGTGCCCAACTGTTAATTTCTCTGGTCTTTAATAGTTTTCTTCATCTTGTGGTTTAGTTCCTTTCTTCCTTTCCGTGATCTCTGCTGTGGTTCTGTGAATAGGAGTGTGTAAAGAGGGAATGACAAAAAGAAAAACAAAGTGAAGAAATCCGAGATGAGAGAAGTGACAGTCAACATAAAAATGCAAGCATGAATACAGAATGAGTACTTTTCCTCTCCCTTCGGTCTTGTCTGTTTAAATTATAAAGCCTTCATGGCCATGCCTGTAAACAATTTCTGTAAAGTCTTTTAGAAAGTAAATTGTGCTTTATTTATTTGAGTTTTTGCAGACTGTTCTGTTCTCAGGCTCAGAARTACCACATGGAAACACGCTTTGCATATCCCACATACTTTCCATGTTAATCTCCCTCAAAGTGATATTGACAATTAAATTCCTCACCTGTCTTTATTACAAGCTTGCTTAATAATGAGTGTTATCTGTCTTGGCAGCTCTTCAGCTAAGCTTGGTCTCTATTGTCAGCCRTACTTACAAGCCCCTTCTACACTCTCACCCCTAGATTTAACAGATCTGCAGAACCTGATACTTTATGAAACTGTCCTTTGAATACAAAATCTGCTGCTATGCCCTGTTATTAAAACAAAAATGAAWACCTTTACAAATTACAAGGAGATATAGTGTTAGAAACTACATTTTGAAGATATTTTCAGCAGATGAGCAGAAAAAAAGGCTTAACATTTAATTTCACTCTTAAAGATACATGATTTTTTTCTTCTCTTTTTGGGTGGGGAGAAAGAGTCCTGGGTTTAATTGTACTCATCCTTGAAAAGAAAATTAACAATTTACTTGGTAGCTTTGAACTCTGTTAAACATTGAGAGGCAGTTTTTCTAAAAAGACTCAAGATTCTTATTGATCTACATTCTGCCCTTTTCTGGGTTCTTTGGTTTGTCCTGATCAGTCTATTTTATTTTTGTTTTTTCCTTCAAAATATAATAGTCACAAATGGTTTCTTCAAACAATATAGCAATCGGATAGCTTKGTTTCTGTCCAATGCAGTGTTCATGAAACTTATCCCTGCTGTATGTTCGTTTGCCTTCAGGGACATTCTGAGTGAGACGATTGGCCCCATCAGTGAGGGGTTTTTCAAGTCTTTTGAAAGATCTTGAAGCTCATGTCTGTCTTTCTCCCCTTGCTCCCCAATGTGTGGAAAGAGTGAACTGTGGATAACTTTTTAGAGATTATATGCAGAGAACGGCATTGCTAAATGAGGKCTTTACTTCCATACAAATTATGATGTGCTTTTATGGGTATTATGTTAGCCAAAAAAGATGTTTTTGACCTTTCTTGAACCTGTTTCCATTTGACCTGGGTTCCTTCTGTTTCATTTGAAGCAAGTCAGTGCTGCTTTTTCCTTTCTGCCTTTCTAGATGGGAAAAGGGAGAAGAAAACTTTTTGTGTGTATGCATATAATCTCTTTAATATTTTCTCAGCATTGGTTATCAAGTTTGTCCTCTGGGTATGCTAGGAGCCAGTGCAACTAAATCAAATTCAGGAGACATGAAGAAATATCTAAGTTTCCTTATCTASCTGTGATCAGAACTGTGTTTTTCTCAGCGTGGTTTGTGTGTGTGTCTAATGAAAGAATGCAGGTGTGCGGAAAAATCTCGCTGTCCAAGAACTGTCCAAGAATGTCCAAAAGGAGACAGAGGAGACCCAAAACTTTATTCGAATAAAGGGAGAGTCCACCGGGCGTATCCCTGTGGGCTCTCTCAGGTTGCCGGGGGACGCAGCCCCTCTTTTATCCTCATCTCCCGGCCGCGGGGCCCTCTCCTTTTGGAGAGGGCCTCAGGAGTCGCAGGCTGCCCGGCCGCCTACACCCAGCGCGGTGCCTCCCGCCACGTGTTCGCACCTCAGCTCCTTGGACTCCCTCGTGACCCCCTCGCTCCAGGCTCCCTGCAGTCTCTCCCCCCACTCCGGGCTCCRCTCAGTCTCCCACCTGTCTGGGTTCCTTTTGTCCTGCTCATTGAAGATACAAACTTTAAACTTGTGATGTGTGCTCTGCTCAAGCCCAAACTTCTTGTGTGTGTGTTTTCCACACACAGGGCAATGCAAATACTTTATTCAGTGTTACAAATATCGCCAGAATGAATCTATGAGCAGATTAAGGCATTGGGAGGTGTTTTRCCTGACCTGTAGTAGCTTAATTATGAAAGATCATCTCAGTTCTTTCAGTTTTCCTTTCCTAAGGCTGTGCGTGACAGGTTTTCATTTTATTACTTTTTTCTTTAGTAATAGTTGTGTAGATAAAATTATGGCAGCTTTTTTTTAATATCTGCAGCAGTGTGGAAGATAAGAGCTGAAAATGCAAGAGTTTTGCATTGGAGCAGATGTGCCTGTTGCAGCTTTGCCCTGCTAGCCCTGCTGGCCAGACTTATTTTACACCGAAGTCAGTTCTTAAGATGCAGAGCTCGTTCCTACGTGGCTGAAAGCAGCTTTCTGTGTTTTGGTGGCGGGGAGCTGTGGAATTTGAGAAGGATCAGAGCAACAACTGAACATTTCTTGTTACTATTTATGCCTTTTATTTTCTAAATAGCACAGATGTGGCTAAATAACAGAAAGGAGATGCTGCAGGTAGAAACCTTCTTACACTAGCTGTAAAGGAAAACCCGGCACGCAGAGACTTGCATTTCTGTGGTGGGCACTATACAGCTTTGTAAACAGACTGCGCCTATGGTGCTGCTCTCCTCTCCTTTAGAAAAGGAAAAATAAATTACAAGAGCCAAAATTAACACATATACTGATATATTTTTCCTTGGGAAAATTTGCTCAAGTGATCATTAATAATAAAGATGAACAAAAAGTTTCTGATGAAAGTTTCTGATGTTGAGCATCTCTGAAAGGTATCATTATAGGTCAGTCTTGGTATGATAGAACTTGGTCTAAGAGTCTAGACTCAGCATTTTAAAGCTGACTTAGTCTGTGGCTCAACTTACCTAATGGTTTAAATTTAATCATTTGTGGGTTTCCTTTGATCATGATTTGATCTACTGGAAGGTACTGTGACTTGTTTCTTAAGTGTGATAATGGCAATTGGCTTTTAGAATAAAAGAATTTTAAGTAAGCCAGATACCAATTACCAGAGGAAAAAACTTGTTGCTGAACTATTTTTTTTGACTATTACAATATAAAGCCAGCATAAACTTAGCCTTAGTCTTTGTATCTCTTCTATTCATGATGGGTTGTGATGGTTAAAGTTCATTTTTTTGTGATAGATGTTTTAGCCTTATGAAAAAGTCTAGGTTTTACATGCGTCTTTTTACAAAAACGTAGAATTCATTGTAGTTTGGTTTTAATAATGACTTTCTGTGTTAGCATGTACACGTGTCTCCGGTATCTTTCCAGAACTGGAGTTTTTATTCACCTTCTACAGTGGCTTTGATTACAATGAACTCATCACAGTCCTTTTGACTGCAGGCCCCTGACTTTAACTTACTGCTCTCAATAGGCAAATCAGAAACTTCTTTTGTTTTGTATTAACAGAAAGCACTCATTTCTTCCCCTTGTTGTTCAGTAGCCTGCATTCCTGTGTGCAGTTTTTAAGATTACAGACATGATCTTCCCTATCCTTTTGCAAACTTTATCTTGCTCTTTCAGGTAGCTGTGCAGAAGCAAAATATGTGCAGGCAAGGAAATGCTCTGTTATGACTGTAAATGCCTCTGGTGTTTTACAGGGCTTTTCTGGTAGCTGGGAAAAGTGATAAGGAGTGGCAGCAGGATGCAGGAATTCAYGTTGCTGGGCGTTGGGCTCAGAAAGGCGTCTGAAAAACAGGCCCTTATTTGCCSGAGAAAACTGTTCCCAATTTTGTTAATGGAGATTTCAAAGCCATTCTGGATAAAAATAGTATTTGGACTAGAGTTTATTTGACTATATTATCTTCACAATGAAACATTAAAAAAAGAGGCTCTTTAAGTTTGCCACATGTTAGTAAATGAAATTATCATTACGTGAAAGAATCATCTTTATTTTTAAAATTAATACATGTACTTTTTTGTTTATCTTTCAGAACCTAAACAAACAAGCCTATGATTTGGCAAAGGCTCTACTGAAGAGGACAGCTCAAGCAATTGAGCCATACATTACTAATGTAAGTGAAGACCATAAACAGATATGGAAGAGATCACTAAATTTCCAAAGATGAAACTGTCTTAAATAAATGGGGTAAATGACRTATGTTCAAATAGACCTGGATAACTTTTAGAAGCTCTGTGTCTTCTAGGAAATAATTGTTATGTTAATGAAATGCTACCTAACTTTGACTCTAATATTTTACTATGTAGAAGTTACTAAGCCATCAACATTTGACTTCTGAAATGGAATGAGCAGTTTACTTTCTGCTTTCTTGGGAGAACCTTATGCTTAATTCTTCTTTTATGTGACTGGAAGACTTAAGTGTACTTATATGTATCGAGGATAAATTGGCATCTAAGGATGGGGAGAGTAGGAAGGAAAAACCGTGAATGGACTGAGGAGCAGGTGAGYTCAGTGAGAAGCCTCCATAGACACTGCAGGAGAGAAGAGGGATGGAGGAAGGAAAAGTCAGATGAGAATATTCTCCGTTAAAGTTCCCAAGTGTTCCAAGTTAAAGTTCCTGAACAGAATAAACTTTCTTCTGTTTGCAGAAATGATTTTATAACAATAACTTTCTGTATGTTTTTATTTTGTTCTTTTTTTTTTGTTGCTTACTACCTTATTGATTATATTATAGTGTAAGACATTTCTCATACTGAAAGTTGGGTGAGGTTTTGTGGTCCTAGGATGGAGCACCATAAGAAGCTGTTCTGCAGTAAGAATCTTCCTTTGTGAAGAACGTGTGTCCGTGTTCCTCTGTTCTCAATTACCCGCAAGACTGCTTTGCTTTAAGAGTAGCTTTATTTCTTAAAATGTACTGGCCACAGTAGGATTTAATTACCCACCTGGAAACATTTATGCTCTAGGCAACTATGTGTTCACCAGCGAGAGCAGAGTCTTTCTCTAAGTCAGTGAGCAGCCTTAGTGTCTAGGGAGCTGATGTATTTATCAGTCCTTGCTAGTCAAGATTACTAGGAACCACCGACTTCTTTTTTTTTTTTTTTTTTCCTGTGGCACCTGCTGGGATTCACTTGATAACTTTAAAAATGTGCATTTTTTTGTTGTTCTCTGTAACCATCCCTCCTTCCCTTGCCCTCTCCTTGCCCCGTGTTCGTAGTGTCTTTATTGGTCTGATTAACCTTGTCAGGCACAGAGAGCCTGACGTTAACGTTCATCTGTTGACATCTGGAAATAAGAAACTGCAGTGCTAGTTAAATGTATTCTGCCACCTCACTCGCATATGGAGATAGTGTAACTTATTTAGTCACATAGTTTAGCCGTACTTCTTTTAATCCAAAGAAAAGACAACCTGTGCAAATTAGGTCTTCTCTGCTAGGAATAGAAATGAGGAAATTCCAATTAATTGCTTMATTCCCTTTTATTGTATAAGTATGTTGTAGAAAGTAGTATGTAATTAATACTTGCTATTAGAAAATATTTTCTGCAAGAGAAAATGTGAAGTTTGCCTCAGACTCATCAAGATTATACAGAAAGAATAATTGCTTTACGGCTGTTTTGCACTGCTTATAAACAAATTCTGGCATAGTCAGTTATTAATTCCTACGCTTCCACTTAAAACTTCTTAAGGTGTCGACTGAGTTGTGTGGTAATTAGCCAGTTGTTTAAGTCTTGTTTTGACTAAAAKGTTAGAATGCTTTTAAAGTAAATTATTGTGCTCTATAGTGAAATAATTTTAAATACAGTCACATTATAAAAAGATCTGACATACTGCAACTCTTCTAAGGCWGTGTTGCTGTTTGAATTATAATTTTTAAGTTTGCTGTGGTAAACCAAATGTCACATTTTGGTGTATTTTATCTGTAATTTGAATATAAAATAGAATAATRTAAAGTTTATGCAATATAGTCTTCATCTATCCCTCTTATTACTGTGAAAAAAAACATTATTTCATAAGATAGGTAAATTTTAGTGGAAGTGAAGCTTAGAATCCAGAAGACTGTGCATGCTCTTCTTGATATTGATTATATATTCTGGTTTACTTTGCAGTTTTTCAATCAAGTTCTCATGCTTGGGAAAACATCAATTAGTGACCTGTCTGAGCACGTGTTTGACTTAATTCTGGAGTTATACAATATTGACAGTCACCTCTTGCTTTCTGTTCTACCACAACTTGAATTCAAACTTAAGGTAATTGCTTCTTATCTATGTCTTAAATAGMTGAAGAGTATTTGTTTTGACTGTTAGTATGCTCTTATACTGACAAGGTCACCACACACTTTTATGGGCACAAAACTAATGCTAACGTGTAAAGCATCTTTTGTGTTCAGAAAAACTCTCAAAGTACTCAGAGTAATTAGACTTTAGACCCATTAACCTCCTGTGTGTGTATGTGTTCTTGTTTGGGGGGGGAGGAAAACTGGCCTCCATGTTGATGGAAACTGATGAACGGCCTCTGAAGAGCAGAAACAGAGAACTGGACTGTGGAAGCATTTCTTGTATTTATTGCTTTAGTGCCATCCAAGATAAATACATATTTAAGTTGATTTTTTTTATGTCTGAAGGACAGCTGGTACTAAGACTAAGGCTATTTCAGTAGGTATTCTTGGTTTTGCCTTTCTATTTTTTCAGAGTATATAGATCTTCAAGCGGAGGAAGAAACTTCGATACTCTTATGAAGAATTAGTCAAATAGATTGTCATTCTGCAGGGTTTCTATGGAAAAAAATACATTCCCTTTGGAAAAGGGAATGTTTTGTAATACAAGTTGCTAAGTGATGTGTTATCTAACTTAAGAACTAATTGGAGCAGGTGATCATTTAAATTCATATTTATTTTCACTATGGAGGATGAATTTCAGGTTTTACAGAATCTGTTGCCAGATCTTATTTTATTGTTTATTACTGTTCATGTCCCTCCTGGACTTGTTCACATCTCTTCCTGGATTTTTAGATGAGTTGGTTTTAGTGGTTATATTGTCTTGCACATTCCTTCTTTTCTGAAAGAAGTGGGATTTAATTAACTCCTTGTTGTTTATGTGTTAAGGTAGTCTCTTCTCAGCCATAAATCCTTGTTTTTTTAGATGGAGAAAGATTACCATTTTCACTACATTTTATAGTCAAAACTGTTATTCAGGGCACTTTAACTGATGCCACATCCTCTTTCATAGCCATAATTAAAGCAACCTTTCCATCCGCTGCAGTTCAAATTGCAGCTTCTTGGATCATCCACCTGCTGTGTGCTCCCGTCACCTCTTTGTGAATTCTTCCTTTCACTCGCCATATTTCTGTATTTGAATGCAGACTTCTTGTTAATGTCCTGTGGGGTCCGTAGGTTTAGTAGATTGACCCTATCTCAGACACCCTCCAAAACTGCTGCAGCTCTGTGACACCCCTACACACACACACACACACACACACACACACACACACACACACACACACACACACACACACACACACACACACACACACTCTCCCCCCCTCTCCTCCCCCACAACATTTTTCGTGTTTTTCCATTAACTGGACGATTTTTGGTCCTCAGGATTTCCACCTTTCCTTCATGTCTCTCAATTTCTAAGAACCTTTATCATCTTTGTGTTTTTGTTCTTTCTTTTTAAATCACGCAACTAAAGAAACTAAACACAACTAAAGAAAAGTCAATTCATGAATAAGTATTTTGTTGTTTTAATCTCTGTGTAGTTTTATCTTGTGGTCTAAACCATTAAAGATAAGGTGGCTCACGTGTTGGATGGTTTTATTGTGCACTGTAACAAAATGTTTTTTTCAACAGACATGTACATTTTTACAGTTAGGCTCTTGTTGTTTTTGTAAGTTCTTTGATGTCTTTTCGTATATGTAAAACTCAAGTACAGCTTGTGCAATTGAGAGCATGGTATAGCTACTATATGAATCATCTGGTTGCTTCATATGTGTGTTTTGATGTCAAAGTTAAAAGGAGAAATAATATATGCATATCTTGTCATTGACTGCCCATGGAGGTTGACCCTTCTTTTACAGGAAGAAGCTCTGTTTAGAATAGAAGAGCCTTRGCTTGAATTAAGATCTTTCTTCTGTGGTTAAAAGATCTGTCTGTGGTTAAAAGGATAGTTTGAAGAGGAATGTTCTGAAATATTCATGAAATATAGCCAGTCTGTGGGTTTGTCTGACCTCAGTGTAAGTTCATTCTTTATGGAGACCTGCTGGAGTATTTCCTGCTCCAACCATAGTTATGGCTTTACACTCRAGAGCTGCTAGTGCCAAACGTTTGGAATTGAGGTCCGAGTAAATAGGGTGTTGAAGCTCCATAAGCCAGTGGAGAGAATGAGTTTTCAGTGATTCTTAGCACAAAGGGTGTGTAAGCTGGAAGGTGACTGATACTGTGTGCTTGGAGAAAAGCTGGATAGGGGAATCTGTTGATTTGATACAGCCTTGGGCCAAGTGGATGGTGAAGGAGAAAAACACGCTTCCAGCCCATCCTGAAGTTTGGGAGAGCAGAGCTGTCTCTTTCAATGCAGGTTAGTTAAGGTTGATACAGTAAACATGAACCTTAATTCTGCATATCACCCAGAGGTTGTCTAGATGGTTTTTGTCTTTCCTGCATTTGATACATAACTGCATCCATATCCGTATATGCAATTTTAAAGTTTTATGGCCTGAGCTCAGGCACTGGGCTGTGCAGTAGGTATTTAGGCAGAGGCTTGTGGAGTCCAGTGCCTTGGCCTCAGCCTCTGGGGCTCAGAGGCTTGGAGAGGAGAGCAGAGACCTGTGGGGCTGCCAACTSTTCCTTGACAGCACCCAGCTCATGCTGTCTGACCCTAACTTGTCTGCAGCTTCAGCACCAAAGCCTCTTGGTTTATCTCCATGGGCCCAGGCTCTTGGGGAAGCTCTGCGCTGTCCCTTCTCACTGTGGAAGAATCCAAGAGCTTTACTGTGAGAGATCAATACTTGGCCACACACAGAGTGGTTATGAAGCTGTTACTGTGGCGCTTGGACAGCGCTCGGGCGCCCGGCCCCGCTGCGGAGCCTCCGTTGGATCTGAGCAGTGTGGCCACCTAGTGTCGGAGCAGCCGGGGGTGCCGGGCTCCGCTCTGTGCGCGTGGCTGCAGCTGCAGACCCAGGGGTTCCYTGGCAATACCTGGTGTTCTTTCAAATACATACGTCTCTATGTCCATCCCTGCCTCAGTTGCCTCTGCTGTGATGTGGCAGGGTCATTTCTTATGGATAAATAATCCTGCTCCTCTCGTGCTTTTAAAAGCTTTAGTTTATTTGTCCAAAAGAGACTATTAGCCTAGCTGGAGAATATCCATCGGAATTCATTTAGCTTTCCTCTTGGAGGGGGTTCAGTCATTCGCCTGTGATCTTGGCATTAAAGTGGTGTGCTTAGAGAGCTAGTTTGTCACAGCAGCATTGCTAGTGCAGGAGAGAGTGGAGATGAAGGTACTGTTGTGTAGGTGAACTTGTAAAGAAAACTGTTATTGCTGCATTKGAATTGGATATCTGAATTTTTAGAACTGATACTATTAAAAGTGACTCTCAGTGTAACATTCAGGAAAATGACAAGCTCATGAACAGAGTGTTTGGGAATTGTCTGTAATGGATTACAGGTCATCTTATTTTACTTTCCTATGAAACTGTTTACTTAATCATTACCGTGTTGGCGTATACTTAGAGCTGCCTTTCTTCCTGGGCATGCTAATTAAACCTTCTGACCAAGTTGTCTTGTGGCCMCTTCTACTCCCAAGTCCTCCAGATCCTCAGTGTTATCTTTTGGACTTGCTAGTCATAATATTTAGATCAGCTTCAGCTGGTGTTAGTGACAGCCCATAATATCTAGGCAGAGGAGCAGGAGTGTTTGTCTTGGCAGCTGGATGTTCAGAAGCTGAAAATGTCACGTTTTTGGCACGTCCCTATTAAGGCTCTTTATGCTTAAGAGTGCTGGGTCATGGATCGCATCTAAGAGAAATGGTGAAAGGGAACATGGTCAAGGACAAAACATGACATAGGATGGAGAAGAATTCATTTTTTTTCCTCACTTATGATCCACCTCCTGCTGATTCTTTTCCCCTACTCTCCCTAGTAGGTAGAGATGTAAGTAGAATAGAGGCAATAGCCTATAGTGGTGATGCATTCATTTAATAACAGTGGCCCATTGATTTCTGTCTGTRGTAGCTTACAGAATGTCTCAAGGAAACCAACTCCTAGGTACAAATCTAGAAATTAGCTCATCCTCTTGGTCCRTAATGACAAATATTCTGTGACTAGGTCTAGGAACATGGTCGTGGTGGGCTTGTCTTGTAACTGCATGTATCACCTAATAGGGTGAAAGCTTCTTGTTAATGATGTGGGTTTTTTAAACATATTAATATTATGACTGTTATTTTTCTGTGTTTTTAGTTGCGTAGCGAAGTGTTGAGTGTCTTCTCTTGTCACAGTGAAACATTGTTCTAGATCTGTGTTAACTACCTAGAGACATTCAGTGCTGCTTTGTATCTTTAGAATATTGTTGGCTTAAATAGGAGTGAATGGGACTTCGGGGAATGGAATTTGATGCAGGCCATGGGCAGATCRCTGTTCTTAACCAATTCTTACCTTTATGGTTCTGCAATGGAACCTAACAATCCCAAACTCATCTGGGGAAAAAATGCTATTTTTTTTCCCCCCCAGCATAAGAGCAGGAAGTTGTACAAAGCTCTTGTACTACTAAGAAGTTACTAAAATATATTCAAAAGAAGTGTAGTCTCTTGTAGTATAGATAGGAAATCTCAAATGCTGATATACTTGCCCTTAGTTATTTTTTCTGCTCTGTTACTTTCAGAATTTTGCCTGTGCTTTTAATTGGTCTCTGAGCCTGAGGTGCCTGTTAGGGGATTCTGATGACAGCCACACCGAGCTCTTATTTCTTGCTTATGGGGCCTAATCTGAAAGGCTGCTGTTAAACTAATGAGGATGTTAAATGTGATAGAATAGAAGAACATTTCAGAAATCCCACACCTTCATACTAGAAAGGTGACAGAAGAGGTGAAGGGTGTCTCGTTAACATCACCTTGTCTGTGCTGTGCCCTTTCTGAGCAAGCCTTGCAGTAAGTTGTGTGGTCGTGAACTCTCGGGCCCAGTATGCAAAGGAGGCAGCGTGGTGAACTGCAAGTACCTGCTAATTGCAGCAATATTAACATACCCTTCTAAATATGTTTTAAATTTCTCATGGCATGTCTTCTTTTAAGCAAGTGGAATGCAGACTGATACTAATCAAAATAGACTGGAAAAGGTCACGTTTTATCTCTACATTGGTGCTAATTTTAAGTATTGAAGAAAAGCATCTGCTGTAACCCAGTGTTTCAAAAATAGACATGTATTGTCAGAAGAGACCAGATCTTGTGCATCACAGATTTTCGGTATCTGAGGACCCATTTTCTGAAAACTTTTTTCCTTCCTTCTTCCTAGAGATGTGGTAAATAGTTTCTCATGAAAATGTGTTACCATAAGTAAGGTCCAATATTTGAGCCAGCTGATTACGAGTTTTCTATGAAATTACTTTATTGCTAGAATTCAGATTCTGCAAACCTCTAGTTCATATTTGCAGTGGGTAGCTTGGAACACTTTTAGAGTACTGTCAACTTTTTCTTGTAGAAAAGTAGAATGAGTTGTTTCYTTTCTTGATGCTGTACTTGAATTTGTTTAAGTCTGTATGGGCAGGTATCCTTGGTCAAGGATTTCTTGGCAAAATCAGTGAACTGTTGAGTTAAAGTAACACCTGCATTTGAATATTTTTCAGTATTTTTTTTCTCCAACAGATGCTCTACACTTTATTTTCACTGCCTCCATTATTTTGTTTTCTTGTATTTGTGGAGATTCTTTTCTCTTGAGGAACACGCATATGTGTTGATGAACCTATGGATCTACATTAGAATTTTTCTGTAGAAGTAAGTATGTTTTGGTATAACAATGGTGTAAAACTTGAATGAATGTGTTTATTTTCCAGAGCAATGACAATGAAGAACGCCTGCAGGTTGTAAAACTTCTGGCCAAAATGTTTGGGGCAAAGGATTCAGAGCTGGCATCTCAAAACAAGCCACTTTGGCAGTGCTACTTGGGAAGGTATGTGCTATTTTAGTTCCCTGCTCAGGAGGGGAAAACACTGTGAAGTATAATTCACTATTTTTCAAAATTTCGTGTTTTTTAAGTAGGTAATACAGCTAAATGAGTCTTGTTTTGCAGCTTTACCTCAGATCTGGCAGGTAATGCTAGAATTGACATCTGTGATTCTGTAGAGTGCGATGAAAAATGAAATCATTTTTTAAACTTGTKTTTTTGCAACTCTCTAAGGTGCTGTTGCAAAGAATGATGTTACTCTTGCTACGCTATTGAAACTAATTTTGCATTAATTTTAAGAATACCAAATGATAATGGCAATCGGATGATAATGTAATTGATCCCAAGGTTTTTATGTAGAATATTTGTTCACTGTTTTCATTTTATGGAACGGCTGAAATACCTAAAATGTTAGAGTATTTGCAACAAAACAAATATTTTTTTTTTTTTGAAATATATTGCCGGTGTGAAATAGAGAATGTGTGGTGGTGCTAATAAATAGGTAACTTAAATTTGGCTACTGTGGTGAAAATACTTCCAATATTGGTTAAAGGAGATAAATTATTACAAATGTAGTAGTTTAAGAATATTCTTAGTTTCTAGTCATATGAAAGTGAGGATATTCCTAGAGAAATTCTGCCCTTGTAGATTTAAGACTTGTATGACACTCTTGTAAAATGGTAATAATAGATATATTACTAAAAGAGCCCTTCATAATTTCTCTTAATTTAGAAAACATAACTTTTTTAGTCAGTGATACACAGTTGATGTTAGTAGAACGTTACAGAAATTACAACAAATCTGAGACACACCTTACCGTTAAATAAGGGTTCCTGGGAGTTTTCCATGGATTCCAGGAGATTTCCAAGAGAACTTCATTTGACGTATTAATTAATTATGTGAGCACAGGATATATTTATTAATTTACTTTAAAGACCAATCAGATTTAACACTATGAAATCAGAATTGTTTTGTGTGTATAACTGTACATTGGAAGCATAAAAAATGTTTTCTGAGCATTTGAGAAAGTTATAAGAAAGTAGCTGCATGCTGTTTATTGAAGCAGATTAGATTATGCTGCTTAAACTTTGGTCTGTTTGTTCAATTTGTTAGCAATCGTTTATGTTCTTTAAAAGCAGAATGAAACGTAGGACTACATTGTTTCTACTCAAGTTTGTGTTGTTTGTTATATGATTATGATGGCATAAGTGGAAATAAGAGAACTACTCCAGGCTATTTGGAATACAAGTCTTTGACTATTGCCATTTTAGTGCTGTGTGTAATAATAAARTAATTGCTTTGGTGGATGTGGTTTATATAATGTGTTATCTTGTTCAAATAGGTTTAATGATATCCACGTACCCATTCGGCTCGAATGTGTGAAATTTGCGAGCCACTGCCTTATGAACCATCCTGATCTAGCAAAAGACTTAACAGGTACAGACTGAACGTAGCATTAAAGTAGAAAATTATTCTTAKGTCTGCTTGAAAAGTCAGGAGGGTTGGTTGTGATCGTGAAGTAGCCTGATCTGATGTTGTGGTGGAAACAACTGAGGCTAGAGTGCTAAGTCCCAGAGCCTGGTGCTTCTTCTCWGCCTAGGGGACTATGCACACAAATACCTGAATATTCCTTTTTACGGTAGCTAAGTTCCTAAAACCCCGTGAGACAGGGCAAAGGCAACCTGGCTGACCAGGGTTGTGGCACTTAGGAAGTCGAGTGCAGAGCTAAGACTTCAGCGCAAACACTGCCTGTAATTTAAGGCTTGAAAACCTGAGTACATAGAAAAGCATTTAATATTTTTGCTCCCCATGTCTTCCCGATAATTATAAAAACATAATTAGACTGGATTTTTTTTTCCAATTTTTTAATGAAGGTTGTCTTTCATGCTCACTTCTTGTAGTTACCTTAATTTTTTTTTTTTCCCCCCTCCTCTAAGCGGGGAGTTTAAGGGTATATTACGTGTATGGATTAGTCCTCTATGTTTGGTATATCTGCTTGCCAAGAATTGTGAAGATCGGCATCTAAGTTAGGCCAGCCAGAACCTTCTCAGAGTTTCATTTCTATGTGTTCTGTGTTTGCTTGTTTTGAGACAATTGGAATGGTATGGTAAATGGGATGGTAAAGACATTTCCTCCTTCATTATCAGAAATATCCTTCCAAGTTTTCTTTCTCTCTTTTTTTTTTTTCCCTTTCTTTTTTTCTCTCTTGTTGCTGAAGGACTTTGTGCCCCCTCTAATGGTATCCTTTGGGAAATGTCATTTTTGCCTGCCCCACTTCCTTTTCCCCTCCCAGCACTTAATACAGTCAGTTTTTCCAAAAAGTGACTGCCACTCACTAGTATTTTAACAGGAGCATCTTGGCAATGGGATTGTTCTTCAGTGTTTTGACTGCATTATATTTCTTTGCAGATCCGAACTGTTCATGGGGGTGTGGGGTGGAGAGTCAAAGCGAACTTCTCTTAAATAATACATGGGTTTCAAATCTTGTAGCTTAGAAATTCAAAGCTTTATCTCTTGCTGTGGATTTTCAGTGTTGTCCTGATTACCAGAATATTAACGATCAGTATTTCAGATGAGACTTGAAAATTGTCACTCATTGAACAGTCCTGAGTGTGCAGCGACCTCTATACTTCATTTAGAGCACACTTAGAGCTGTCCTGCTGTATTCTCTTATTCAAGTTATTCTCAGTTGCTGTGGATGTTTCATTGCTCTGGGCTGTTTCCCCTTCCTCATCTTGCATCTGCTTTCACCTTTTAATGTTAGCTACAGTGATCTTGACTGTTTTTTGTTATTTGCATTTATGTACTGCTTCTAAATTAAGCTAAAATATTCACGTCAAAAAAGATGAGCAATCTTTTCCATATCTTCTGTACTTGGTGACTCTTTCTAAAATGATTGTAACTAAAATTTGACATTTGTAAGCAGAAACATTAAAATATCGATGCTGCATCAGTGATGCTACAAAATAGGAAGCAATATCCTAAAATAGCCTTGAAACTTTAGATAAATTGAATGAATTRGGATATATGTAAATACACATTTTGGCTTGGTGGAGGAGCATGCCTTTGAAGTATAGCTCTTCTTTTTTCTTTTCCCCTGCTTACCATGCTTTGGCTCGCACTGGGGAGTGTTCCTGGAGCATGTGAACTAGGGTCCTTTTGGATCATGTGAAAACAGAGTTTGTGTTCAGGAATGCAGCTCCCGTGCTTAAAACAACCAGAGGGCATAGAGCCTGCAGGAGGAGTAGCCTCCAGCCTGAAGGAAGACTTCTAGAACGTGTTTAGTCCAGATACCAAGTTCTCTATTACTAGCTGTTCTGCTCTGCAGATGCCGAGTCCGATAGCCCAACAAAAACTGTAGTTAATTCTGTGATTTGTTTCCTTTCAGAATATCTTAAGGTGAGGTCACATGATCCTGAAGAGGCCATTAGGCATGACGTTATAGTTTCCATAGTTACTGCTGCCAAAAAAGATCTTTTGCTTGTCAATGATCACCTCCTCAATTTTGTCAGAGAACGAACACTGGACAAGCGGGTAAGAAGCGAACATTTTACTACTAATTATGTCTTACACATGTAGGCTCCTCTAACTTATTATAGGTCAATGTGCTTTATCTTAGTGCTACTTAAAAATACCAAATTGATTTTTAATTCTAATATCTAATTTTAGCTGTGAAAACAAATATAACACAAACATGTATGAACTTCTCTGTTCAATTAAATCTTGCATAATATTTGTTAATAAAAAGGCTATATGGTGTTTCTCAGGGGTGCTTAACAAAAGTGACGTTGTACCATGGTCCAAAACTGTTGCTTCCAGCTGTCGCATTGGATTTATCTGTGCCCTTAGCTGGAATGTTGTATTTTCTGTTGTGCTGTATTGTCTGTTAAGGTGATATGGTGAAGCTTTGGAAGGGGCTGCCTTCCACCTTTGGAAGTGGTGGAGTCACCGCCCTGGCAGCGTTCAAGAAACACGCAGAGGAGGCACCTGGGGCCATGCGTTTTGCAGGCGTGGTGGTGAGGGGCTTGTGGTTGGGCTTGAAGACCTTAAAGGTCTTTTCCAACYGTTATGATTCTATGATCAGAAAAAGAAAAAATTATATTAGGCTGAGGCAAAACAATGTCACTCATCAAGTTATAATAATATCTTTTAGGTAAAGCGATGCTTTCGACACGTTCTGAAACTCTTTTACAAGATCTTGAAAGCAGAATTCAAAATGTATTTTAGATTACTGATGAAAAATGTTCTACTGTCAGGGGTAGCCAGATTGCCTGCTTTAAATTRGATATTTTCATAGGTGCACACCAGTGTAGTAGCCTTCTAAGYTAAATATCCCTGATTTAGTTTATTCATGTTCATTATTCGACAAAATTCCTGTGACTTGCTGCTATGGTTAGAACTTGGTCAACAAGGATACTGTTACCAGCTGGTGATTTATTTTGTTCTATTTCTTTCTCATTTTGGTGACATGCTTTTCCCCTGTTGCAACCATAAAAATAATGGCAGATATTCAGTATAGATTGCTGAGAAACGTTGTTAGCTTGCCTTATAAATTAAAATTAAATTCACCACACATAYATATGCACAGCAGTTACTGATTTTGCAATGCGTAGCAGCAGTGGATGTGATTCAATACTTGTTTCAGTGAGTAAATACTGCATTTAAAATTCAATTTAACTTTCTAATAAATGTTTTGGGAAAGAATCAGAAATGCCTACGAGCAAGTTCTTTTTAATTTTTACACTGCAGTACTTTTCTCTCTCTTTCTTTTCTGTTCTTCAGTGGAGAGTGAGGAAAGAAGCCATGATGGGACTTGCACAGATATATAAGAAATATTCCTTACAGTCAGAAGCAGGGAAGGAAGCTGCAAAACAGATTTCATGGATCAAGGACAAACTTTTGCATATATATTATCAAAACAGTATTGATGACCGGTAAGTCCATCTCTACTTTAAAAGCTAGGCAATTCTGTGACTAAGTGAGGCAACTTAGGCACAGATTGTTTTTTTTCTCTGTGCTTAAGCACTGATAAAATGCGGACACTTCTTAATCCTTTATATTTTGATCTAGTACATGATCTGAGAGAAYTGTAGCCAAGTGTGTTCCTCTTTTATTTTCCTTTACGATTTCCTTTGTGATTAATAGCAATGAATTGGAGCTTTGCTCTGGGTTTGTGGTGAAAACAGTGCCTATGCCAACRTAGCTGTAAATTTGTAATGTGGTGGTTTGAGTCCAAGCGCTGCTGTTGGGGCAGCTTCCATAGTGTTGGGAGCTAGCCTGCCTTAACTAATCAAGGGCTCTTGCCTTTATTAATTTCCATGCAAATGTCCTTGTGTTTTTCCACTTCTGAAGAAGTGAGATAAACTCAGTTCTTTGGGGGAGGAGAAGAAATCCAATTCCTTCCAGCTGATACCGAATCCTCCTTTGTGTTGAACGTGTCCCACATGTTATCATAACAGCTGAGATTTATTGCTATTTTAGGCCTAGTATTGAAAAGAAATTATTGATCCCAACAGTGACCTCAATTATCAAACCGGATGTTATTAGTGAATTTCATTAAAAGACGTTCTTCACTTAAAACGCTTTTGTTCCTATCCAAATTAGTACATTTGATCACAATAATGTCTTATTTAACTGTTTCACTGCTAACGTTAAGAGTTGGGTGTCGCTAATTATGTAATGATGTTGTATGTGTTGTGCTTTGCTTAAAGTTTACAATGAGTGTTATTGGAAACTAAGTGACTTGACATTTGGGTTTGTTTTGTTTTTTGTTTTTAGTAACCCAGTCTCTGTAGGCAATGAGTGATTTCTAAGCAAGACTGCAAAGTTTTGTATGCCTGTTTTAGCAATTTGTGACCACTTTTCTTCTTCATTTATGTTGCCTAATGCTCTATTTAGGTTACTCGTTGAACGCATTTTTGCTCAGTACATGGTCCCTCACAACCTGGAAACGAACGAGCGCATGAAGTGTCTGTACTACCTTTATGCAACGCTGGATTCAAATGCTGTGAAGTATGTGCTGTTACTGACTTCTTGCAAAATGTTTTATAATACTATTAATTATTGTGAATTAATTCCAAGTTGTTATGAGTAGTCTATGCCAGCGGACAAAGCTAGTTGTTGAATTATCAGTAAACAGAATGTAACAGTGTTATATATTCTTCAAATGAGAGTTTGAAAAAAGTTTTTTTTTTTTTTTAACAAGTTGTTGTACCTTTTAACTCCAAGTAGCTAAAAGGTGTCAATGATCTAGTAAGAAGCTTGAGTGCCCTTCAGTCCTTTTGTGCCCTGAAAAGGCTGGAATAGGCTCCTACAAGCCTATCTACTAGCCATAGGCTAAGGTTGCTTACCTGGCAACTGCTGAATTAAATCGGCATCCATTTAGAAATCATCATGGCTTAAAGGTGGGAAGGAATTACTCATTTGCCTCTTCCTCTTCACTATGTGTTTTACTTATGGTAACTTTATGAGCTACAGTGCTTGCCTCCTGTTGCTTAAAAACATACATCCATGTGAAGTTGACTAAGGATAGTTTTACTTTTGGGTGTCGTAAAAAATTGATTTAGTTTTACCAGACCTCTATTTAGTGCTACTCTGCCACTTGAAAACTGAATATATTTTGTCCCCATGTGGCAGACTGGAGAAAGTTCTGTATACCATAGAAGGAGTAAAAGTCCCCAAGCTTTCAAATACTTCAGAAAATGGTTCTTGAATACCCTATATTTACCGTATCAGTTGAGTTAAAATACTACAATGGTATAATACATGATTTTTTTTTTCCTAGAAAGTGTGTGAATTTTCAGTTTTGAACAATGCCTCTAACACTCTTTGTACAAGTATAATCTTGTCCATTCCTCGCTATTTGTTGRTCCGTTAGTTGCCTTTTATATGCAAGAGAGACATTGTTTTGATGATAAAAATCTTCAACATCTGTTTTAGCCTATTCCTAGAAGTGTTCTTAGAAGAGTCATGGTTGGCTTGTACTAATGAGCCCAGGACTATTGGTTTGTTTCCCTCATCTATTCAAGACAATGTAGTTTGCTATCTGAAATGAAACTCATTTCAAAATCTCCCTTTGTTCCATTCTAATTTAGCCGCTTTCCTACTACTCAGCTGAGAAATGCTTTAGATTTTGACAGGTACAGAACAATGGAGTTTCAGATGATAAGCACTTCCCTGAGTCTGAAGTTGAAAAAGATTTAAAGGCTGTTTTGGGACAATTGTGTTTCTGAATAGAAGACTTTGACAACTCTTCTCCTGATTTTGTATAAACATGCATATATTCTTTCCTTTAGAGCATTGAATGAAATGTGGAAATGTCAGAATCTGCTACGACATCAAGTAAAGGATTTAGTTGATCTGATAAAACAGCCCAAAGTAAGTTCAGTTTGCATTCATCCTCCAGTGAATATACAGCTTAATTTAAAGCAATATGCCATTTGATTAATTCCAGAAAAAGTCACCTTTAGAAGTTTCTCTGGCTCACTTTCAATAATTGATATGAAATATTTTGAAAACTTAACAAAGATTCTACTAGATCATGCTTACAGTAGGAAATGTGTGTACTTTTTTTCAAGTAAGAGCTAAACTGTATGGAAAATTGCTTAGAAATTTTCAGGAGAGTGTCAGTACTTTGTTACAGAAGTACTTTGTCTTCCTATTTGGGAGCTACATCCTAACAGGATAGTTCTGCTTCTTAAAAATTGAAAGCAAAAACAGCGTATTTGTTGGTGTATATTTTCTGTTGTTGAGGTTTTTTTGTTTGTTTTGTTTTTTGGCTGCCAAATGAATAATTTGCTGGGAGAAAATTTGCTGTTGTGTCTTAATTTATCTTGTGTTTATGTGTGTTTGATAATGATTTAAAAAAAAATTATTCCAACAAATGCCTTGTTTTCTCTATCTTTGCAAACTTTTCAAAAGTTGTGTTGAAAATGTCAAACTGCAGTTGATTTCTTTCTACTGAGTAAATTTTCTGTAYAAAAAGCGACATTCATAGAGGACTTAATAATATCCAGTAAAGTAAAACTTGTAGCTGTTCCTGGCTGTGTGGGTCTACTCAATACAATTCGTAGAAAATGATGGATGTAACTTGGGGTGGAAGTAGAACTCAACTTGAATCTGTGGTGCTGTTTTCAAAGTAAGGAAATAAATATAAGTATGTAGTGTGTACTATAAAATGTTACTGTGTTCGTAGACACATTTATCGATTTTTGTCTTCTATATGACTGCATACTCATGTACCACAGAGAAATTACATTTAGTGCAGTGTAGTGACTGAATTATCCCTTCTGCTGAAATGATCCAAACAGGAAGATGTGGTACCTGCATTTTTAGACGTGTGCTTGCATTATCTGAGGAATCTGCTTGCTGTTCTTTTGCAGAAAGAAAAACTCCCCAAATCAAAGTTATTATCTTTTTAAATTGTATTATAGCTCTAATGAAATTGATTGCCGTGAAACGAATAATATAGATTTAGTGCCTTTAAAATACAATTTAATACTGCGTTAAATTGTAAGTGTAGTAATTGCAAATACAATAAATACTTCTACTATTATTATTTGTAGTATTATTCATAATATTATTTTAGTGATCTAACTTAAGCAGTATTTCAACTGTATCTTGTATTCTTCACCTAATTTAAATACACTTATCTRTAATCTAAAACTTGAGTTAATTTTTTTAGGATCTTCTGCTTTTCAGCTGAAAGTAAAATTCCAGCTTTTTCCATTGGTTTTAAGAGCTGTGCTTTCTCATCTRTGAAATGTCTGATAGGGAATTAAACATATAGTTTTAATAGAAGCCAAAATCAGCATCACACACATTGTGTCTTACTCTTATACTAATTGGCTAAACCTAAATATCTTTGAGGAATATTTTTGAATCTGACATAATTTAAGGAAAACTTTCCTTACTGTGGTGATCTGCATGTTCTTTCCCTCTTCACTCTCCCTCCCCATTCCACYCTCTAAAAAATATAAATAAATAAAGTCCCTGTTCTTATCACAGACGTGAAAAAGGAAGGCCATAGTCATGAGACACATACTCACTGGCCATTCAGAACTGTAGAAAACATTTTAATTTTYGGAGATAAAACCAAAAGCAACTATTAACATTTTAAAATACAGCTTAATATTATGAGATGGGCTTCTTCACTCTGAACTCATTTCTCCACTTAATCATGATGACTGAACTGTTATTTCTTCTCCTGTAAGTGTTGTCTCTGAGGCAAGTGTAAAGTTTGTGAGAACTGTCTCGGAGAATATCAGTGACAGGACAAGAAGCAAAGYGTAGAAGTTGCCACAAGCCAATCTGGATGTTAGGGGGAAAAAAAAAGATGTAGTGAGAGTAATCAAGTACTGGAGTGGGTTATCCAGAGAGGTGGTGAAATCTCCATCCTTCGGAATGCCCCAAAATCCAAAAAAAATCACCTGATAATACTGCGTTGTTTGACAGCACTTATTTTTACACGAGCACAACAGCGAAGGGTTTCGACTTTTGTCTTTTCTTCCATCTACCTTGAAACGCTTTATGAAGAGGCTTAAGGCATTATCTTTGCTTTGCAATTAAGGATTCCTGCTTGTTACTTCAGCTTGAATTTCCGTTATACTCTGAGCTTCAGTGTTATTTGACAAAAACTCCTTGTCTCTAGAATAACCTAAATTAGAGCTAATGTGGGGGGGGAAAAGCTTTTGGATACTTTTGTCTGCCTGCAGCAGTGGGTGATGTGCTGCAGAATACTACTTATTTGTAAGTTCTTATAAAAACTTRCAAGTTCTTCTATTATTGTAAAGAAAATGTATAGCTGTGTGTGTGTGTGTATATATATATATTTGCCGTGTAGCCTTACATGGCTGTGCCCCAGCTGTTTCCTTTTACACATTAAAAGGAGTAGTTTTGGGTCCATGGCTGTGAGGATTGAACAATATCTTTAAGCTCAGAGAGAGTTTCACTGAAATCCAAACTTCATTGATCTCTAGAAATGCAWTTATGTTTTTATATTTTACTTATTTCTTATTTTACTTCTTTACTTCTATGTTTTCATATTTTACTGCTATCATAGTCCCTGAATGTTTTTATAATTATACTGTTAACCTCTGTCTTCTCTGTTCAGCTTTATGGTAGTAATAGTCTTAATGTTGATTTATTCCCCTCTTTACAATAAGATGGGAGCTACTGCTGAAACAGTGTATAGAATTYATACATGAACAAGACGCTAAAGGGAATTTAATGCTCGYGTTTGTGGGGTTTKGGTTTTTTGTTTTTTTTTTTAATTTAAAAGCAAAGAGCCGTTGTATGGAAAATATTGTTATGGCGGGGGGAAGAAACATTTGCTGTTTTCATAAAATATCTAGTAAATATAGTAATAAGTATAGTTATTCTAGGAGTAAGAATATTTCATATATAAATATGGGAGGAAAAGAGTGTATTTGTGGTTCCTCTCTTACTTTTTGTAACTATCTAGCATTAACTTTGCAGTGTTTGTTTTCACAGCCAGTTCTCTCACATCCTAGCTAAGCGATAGGGGCCACTTGCCAATAACGCAGCTAGGRGAGTGTCACTGTGCACAGTGTTCAAGTGCAAATACCCAATGTACTCTTTTTACTTAATGCATTTTTTTTTRTTTTGACTTGCAGACAGATGCCAGCAGTAAAGCTATATTCTCAAAAGTGATGGTTATAACAAGTAAGTGAGCTGAAGTATATTAAAATTCTCTAAAATTGCTTTTGAAGTATTTCAGAATATTTCAGAATATTTAAGGTTGGAAGGGACCTCTACAGATCATCTAAGTATGTGCTTTCCTCTTAACATTTGAAAGGACTTTATGCTCTTTTTAATAACAAATCTTGGTAATTGTAATTCAACTGTATGTTTTGAAGAATTGTCAAGACAACTGCAAGGAAAATTAATTTCTTATGCTAAAACATCTCCAATTGTGAAGCCTATTATATGTTACTTCAGCTGCATTTCTAACTGTTGTTGATTAATTCAAAATGTAGATGATCTCAAGTCAGGTTTTATGTTAGTGTATATTATAGAATATATGTTAGCTGATGTTAATTAACGTGAAATAGTTCCTTAACTTGCTTGTTTTTGATGTGCGGGTATTGTTGTTAGAGTGTATGAAGGAATTTGTGTTTCTGAACAAATTTCTGAAACAACAAAAGAACGTCCATGTAAGGTAAATTCTTGCCAAATCCCACAACCCAAAGCTTTAGGACTAGTGAGAGGAAGAAAAACTTGCTTTACAATTCCATTTTTTTTTTTTATGCATGGTTTTATTTTGTCAAATTACTATTTAAGGATATACATATTTTTGAAGTATCACAAGAAAAGCTGAATCTTGCTACTAGCTTTGGCYATCTGAATCTTGCTGCTAGTTTTGGCTATGTCCCAAATGCTGTCTTCCTTTTTCATATAGTATAGAATCATGTCAGTTTTATGATTATTCTGATCCCTTTGGTTCTAGACTGCATCTTCAAAACAAAAATCCATCCAAGCAAATGCTTAGAAATTGTTTTCAACAAACTGCTCTGCAGTCTCAGACTACTGTCTGTGCCAACTCTGCTTAACGTTTACTTAACATTTTACAAAAAGGTGATGCATCTTAAGAGTATGCTAATACTCTTGTCGATAGATTATCTTGTAAATGCACATTTAAACTAAAAATCATATCCTGTTTAAGGCTTTTTTTTATCTGACTTTCACAAACTGGATATGAATAATTCAGATTTAGTGGAGGCAGTAATTTAGCAAAAATACTCTTTTTGTTTTTAGTGCTTGYTTTGTCAGCTACTTAAATACTTGCCTTATCCAGCACTCAAATGTATATGTGTGTGTGCTTTTTCTTTTTCTTTTCTTTTCTTTTTTTTTGTGGAATATTGGTTTTGTTAATGTTATTAAAAGGACCAAGAAGCCTTGATGAATATGAGGGAAGCAAAAATGAGGGAAGGGGCACAAAGGGGGACCAATGTAATAGCGTAGTAAAAGCAAATGAGCTCTGCCAGTGTGAACACTTCATGCTTTTTTGAAATGTGTAGATGCATCTATGAGAATACCTSAACTGGGTGATTTTTGTGTAGATGTTTTCAGTTAGTTTACTGAGCGAGTGCATATGAATCCCTATAAGAAACTTCCAACTTGTGTAACTTACAATACTCATTAAGATAAATAGTCATTTATTTTTCTTATTTCAAGGAAACCTTCCTGATCCAGGCAAAGCTCAAGATTTCATGAAAAAGTTTACACAAGTTCTAGAAGATGATGAAAAAATAAGAAGTCAGTTAGAAATGCTTGTTAGCCCAACRTGTTCTTGCAAACAGGCTGAAGGATGTGTGGTAAGAATAACTCTTAGTATTTAAAAATACATTTGGAACTCAATTGATTACCTCATTTAACTGAAATATATATTGCAGAGAGAGATTACAAAGAAGTTGGGCAACCCCAAACAACCAACAAATCCTTTTCTGGAAATGATAAAGTTTCTTCTGGAGAGAATTGCTCCTGTTCACATTGATACTGAATCCATTAGGTACGTTTTTGGATGTCTGTAGTTAATGGAGTTTGGAGCTTCTAGTTTTGCCTTTAAACACAGCCAGTAATGGTTTATATGGAAAAGAAAAGCCTAGGGACTTCCAATGTTTTCTTCTGCTTTCCCCTTGCTTAGTTTTTTGCCTCCTCATTCAGAGTGCACAACTTTATTATTTTTAATTCCATACAGGATGTTAGATGACAGTGACTTAAGCAGTAATTTAAATAAGGTGTTAAGGCATTAAGATTTTAAGGACGAGTGAGCTGGTAAAGCTATAGGTAAAAATAATGGGCAGAGTGGTTATTTTAATAGTAGCTGTGTTTGAGACATAACAGCTTATTAGACAGTTTCCAAGTGCTGGTGAATTCTTATCTCTTAATTCCAACTGTAGTAGTTCACTTGAGCTTTTCAGGTTTTTCCTGTTATATAGATGATACAATAGAATTTTGATTTCTGTTAACCTCTGCTTCAGAAACCTTATTAGTAAAATGAAGTATTAAATAAATGTTTTTTTAGTTTTGTCACAGACTTAGTGTTTTCCCAACTCTGTAATTTTTCACTAAATTGCAGCTTCATTTTTGGTGCTATCAGGCTACTTTAACTTTTTTTTTCCCCTATAGGAAGCTATTTTTATCCTGTTAGAGGTGCTAAAAAGACTGAAAACCTGACTAGGAGATCTCTCCCATGGTTTACCAGTGATTATAAATAGCACTTGCAGTGTGTACTGAAGAAATATTCTGAATATTGTTCATTTTTTTGTCAGAGAAGCAGCCTGCAGTTTTTGCTAATAGGCTCAGTCTGATGATCACCATTTCCTTTCTTAGGGTACAGTGTAAGGAAAAACAATATTACTGTCTACGTGAAGTATGGAAGAGAGAACATTCTCTGGAATGTTTCATCAACGCCTACCACAGATGTTTAACAGTTATTTTGTCTCTTGGTTATAGGTTAAATGTTATTAATGGTTCTTTTTTTTTATGAGTTATAAGACATAATAAGACTGCATTAATTTTTCCCTTCAGTGCTCTTATCAAGCAAGTAAATAAGTCTATAGATGGAACAGCTGATGATGAAGATGAGGGTGTACCTACTGATCAGGCAATCAGGGCAGGCCTCGAATTGCTGAAGGCAAGTATGCTCTTGGTGATCAGTGAGCATGTGAAACCTTTCTAAAGCTGCCTTGGTAAAATGCTTTTGAACTTAGCATTCGTATCTTCAGTCATCATCATCATCATCATTGTGGAAGCTATCCAAATGAAAAAACATACATAATTATGCATACATACACTCTTTTTTTCTTCAAGCTCATTGTATATGATAGTAAAGGTTATTCTATACATAATTGATGCATCTGACATTAAGGCTACTTTATCATCTCGATATAAAGCAGAAAAGAAACTGCATGTGTGATAGCAGGGGTTGAGGTTTTGATCGTTAGAGTGTGAACTCTTCCCCTGTRTTCTTGGTCCTTGGCTTGTTTGTGTGTTTTTGTACGTGGCTCTGTGTAAGCATCTCGGAACTGGAACGGGCCTCCTAAGCAGTTTCTTGATGGGTAGGGCTGACTGCAGTTCGTGAATGTAGTTTTACTCCTGGACCAGTGCTTGGGTATCTGCACAGAACTGGGTATTCCCGAGTTCGGTAGAAAAGGGAGTCGTCTTTATTTCTAGACTGTGTGATAGTTGTTGATAATTCAGTTAATGCAGCAAACCCCATCAAGATGCATTTCTGAGGGCATTGTACACAATTTGGTATAGCATCTCCTTCCCCCACCATCCTTTTTTTTATTATTATTTTTTCTTTCTCTCAGGAGAGAAAAGGACTGATCACACTTTATTTGCAAACCCTTTTAAAAGTCTGAACATCTTTAAATGCTGCTATCTAGAATTTTTCAGTTCACTTGCATTTTGTAAAAACATTAAGTTTATTTGACCAATACYGTGTGGTGTAAGTTTATTCTCTACTTGCACACCCAGGTATTTGTGCCATCATACCATCCCTGTTATGTGATGGTGTTGAGAGATGTCCAAAACTGTAGATTGATTTAGGAGACTTCAGAATCCTTAGGGCTTCAGTGCTGAAGCATTCAGAACTTTTTAGATCACCTGAGGACCTGGTAGATTCTTCTGGGGGCAGAGGATTCCTTAGCCAAATACACAGGTTAAGTTAAAAGTGAGATAAACCAGTTGCACAAATGTAAATTTGAGTAAGAATGGGTTATAAAATGGACATCAATATATTTAAAAGATCCAAGGTCAGCACCTACATGTCTGTATGAAGTGGCATGTTTGGGAAAGAGGAAGATGTGGTAATCCTGTGATTGCGAGTATKCCTGTAGAAGTATTTTAATTGAGTTAGAAGTGGGGTTCGAAGTGAATGTTCTAATTATCTCACTGCTTTATTTGCCTTGCTGAGTAACCTGGGAACACACAAACYGAGTTCCTTTTGGAGAGGCAAAACTAGGAGATGCTGCGGGAGCTGCCGTTGTGCTGCAGGGAGTGAAGGGCGTTAGTGAGACCAGAGCTGCTCTGAAATAACCCCCCTGAAATGCGGGTAGCCCCAACGGTGCTTTCCTGGCACCAAATGCATCTCTGCTCCTACTGAAACCACTGCCTGCTAGTGGAGATAGTGATGCAGTTATGTGAAATATTCCAAAATGGGATCAGGATGTGAATCTTAATGTGGTGTTTCATGTAAGGAAACCTTCAAAAATATTAACGTGACTTCTACTTTATTTTGGCAGGTACTTTCATTTACACACCCTATCTCATTTCATTCAGCTGAAACTTTTGAATCACTTCTGGCTTGCTTAAAAATGGATGATGAAAAAGTGGCAGAAGCCGCTTTACAAATTTTTAAAAACACAGGAGGCAAAATTGAAGAAGACTTTCCTCATATAAGATCGTAAGTGTTTATATGTGTTCTTTATTATGTGGGATTATAGAAGTTCTTTTTTTTTTATCTTTTGCATGCTGTATTATTATTAAGTTGCTGAAACCAGAAGAACTAGTGTATTTGAGGGGATGGTGGTAGCGTGTGCATGCATATATGTATATTTACATTTTTACTGGCTTGATGTTTTTAAAGGCTTCCAATTTTTGAAGATATTCCTTATTTTTTAGTGCTTTGCTTCCAGTCTTGCATCATAAAGCTAAGAAAGGACCCCCTCGTCAAGCCAAGTATGCCATTCACTGCATTCATGCCATATTTTCCAGCAAAGAAACACAGTTTGCACAGATATTTGAGGTAAGATGAAAATATTTAATTTACTTTTTTATTATCTTTATTCTGCAAGCCTTAACTAAGGAGCATAGAGGCATAGAGTTTATATTTTATTATATCAAATTTAGAGAAGATATTTTAACCTCTCACATTGTTCCCATGCAGTTTGGCTTCAAATGGTAGTAGCAAGGGACGGGGAGGTTGTGTCTAATGTCCCATTGTCCATCATGTTTAGGATTGCTTTAGTCTGCTAAAGCAAATAAACAAAAAAAACCACTCACAAGAAACAAATAAGCAGATAGGTTGGACCGTCTGCTGAAATAAGGAACTATTCTTGGAACCAGGAACCAAAAAGTATCTGTTGTGACCGGCATAAGATTTTTAAATAGTTATCAAAAATTATGGAAAACCAAGTTTTCATAGAAATTTTGAACAGATTTTAGTTTAGCAAAAGAAAAAGATCTTTTTTAATTAGTGCCCATTCTCTTTTTGAAGGATGAATCATAGTTCATTGCTGAAACTGCCATATTGACATGTACTGTGCCCACCTCAATWAGAAAATACCCTTTTAATGCCCTACTTCCCAAATGGTCCTGCTTGAACTACTACTTTCTGAACTTTTCCTCCCRAGTGTGCTTAGCATTTTCTTTCTGGCATCTTAACTTTCCTTGTGATTCCTGGGAAGCCTGTTGTAGAGTTCAAGAATGTGTTTTTAAATCTAAATGATGATTCATTCTTTCACGATTCCTTTTCTGGAATGGAAATGCGTGGGTTAAATAGTTAATACAGCTGTTAGAATGACCACTTGCTACAGACACAGATTTTATCAGTAATATTTGAATTTGTTGCCTTTATTCCAGCCACTGCATAAGAGTTTGGACCCAAGCAATTTTGAGCATCTCATTACACCGTTGGTTACCATTGGTCATATAGCCATGCTAGCACCTGATCAGTTTGCTGCCCCCTTGAAATCTTTGGTTGCCACTTTTATTGTTAAAGACTTGCTGATGAATGACAGGGTAAGTATTTCTTAAATCTCATTTTGAAGTTCTTTCTGTGCTAGAAGATAATCAACATGTCAAGTACCTGCTTCAAAACAAAAACATAGACATGCTGCTTTCTCCTTTTGCATATATTTGTCTCTGATTTTCTGCAACAAAATGTATTATTGAGATTAACAGAGCGCCCACAGTACAGAAGGAATGGTAGGGCTAGTTCTGCAGTCTTACAAAAACATCAAGTAAATTATAATCGAGGCGCTGCCCTTTGTTAAAACTGGGAGAATTTGTTATTGGCTTTGTTCACTTTGTCTCGTCTTAAGCAAGTTGTGATTTTTAGGAAGTATGATTTATTTAAAATTAAAATCCACTATTTTAAATGCAAGGCTGTGATTATGAAATTTGATAATTCTGTATTTATAGCAGTTATAAAGTTAAATACTTAGGTATTGTCCACTACCTTTAGGGAAGGTATTGTCTAAAATTATGCCCTTGAGGTGCCTGCCTACTGAATAATGAAAATGAACATTATTTTCAGAGGAACAGCTATTATGCATCTTCCACACTAAAGCCATGGTTTTCAGGAACTAATATTCTTAAAAAAAAAAAAAAAAAAAAACTACCAAGTTTGCTGATATTTGAATAAGGAGGTAANTTATGCATCTTCCACACTAAAGCCATGGTTTTCAATATTCTTAAAAAAAAAAAAAAAAAAAAAAAAATCACTACCAAGTTTGCTGATATTTGAATAAGGAGGTAAGAATTTTTACCTCTCTTCTATACTGGTCACTTCTATAATACGCAGAAGCCATAATAATAAGCCATAAGTAAGTCTCTATTGTTTATTGAAGCAAACAAGACACAGGAGATTACAGCAGATTGTAGTGAAGTAACAGCAATATAGTAAAATGTAAACTTTGGTTTAGCTTCCAGGGAAAAAGACAACAAAACTTTGGGTTCCRGATGAAGAAGTTTCTCCTGAAACACTTGTTAAAGTAAGTAGCCCTTTGTATCTCCTACATTTGTGTGTGTGKGTAATGCTTAACATAGTAAATGTAAAGATTCCTGAAACAGCTGCTTTTCTCTATCTCCTTCTCAGCTTCTAAAAGTTAAAAAGAGAAACTACTTTTAAAGGCTGCATCAAAATAGAGAAATTGGATAGCTAGGAGAGAAGTTCTTGTAAATAAACTCCTACACATGTACCTTACTGAATTTTCATTACATTCCTGTTCGGTGTGGAGCGGTTAAATATGCCAGATATTAGCACACTCAATGATTTCTACTTAATAGTTAAATATTATAAATTTCTTTAAAGTTTGCTTTTCATTGGAATTATGATGACATAAAAAAAAAAACTCGTTCTGTGGAAAATACATCCTATAACTGTTTGTTTTTAAATCCCTTTCTTTAGAAGGTAGATTCTGCATCTATTCTCTGTGGTGGTAGTTTATGCTTTCACATTTTCGTCTGTAGTGAGAAAGATGCCTATCTTTGCAAGCTGGCAATGTTAAGTTAATGGCTRAGTTAAATGTAGCAGCAGTTTCCTCCTGTGCCTTTTTTGTAGAGTTGCTCTGGCACCTTTAAGCTCTGTACCTTCTCTCACAGGCTTGTTAAACTTTTCCTGGTGTAAGGGYGCCTTGCCTGCCATTGCAGTGAGGGTTTTCTGCTTGATTCAGAACTCAATTTTGGAAACATTCTGTTAATTTATTAGTTCTTTGTTCATCTGACTAGAGCGAGGTTTATTTTCTTGTTTGTGCAGTAGTTGCACGTTTTAGAAAGAAATGATCACATCCTATATTTTTTGCTTGCACTTAAAAATGCCTAGTTTGTTTTGCATCCCGTATCTAGCATGAGGGAATCATTCATGACCTATTGAATGGTTGTGTTCATTGTGGTACTTTGGCTTTCCTGCTGTTTTAGTGTTGTACAGAATCTAAACCTTGAATTTTAATTTTARATGATTCTAGGCTCCTGAGGCATAAACTTAACCAAAAGCGTTTCAGACAGGATATAAGACTAGAGTGGGCTCTGACAGTAAACTAGGATGAAGGAGGAAGAGAAGAGAAAGCTGGGAGTGCTCAGGAGCTGACCAGAGATGGTCCTGGTGCACCTTAGCATGTGACTGTGTCCTGGCTGGTCCTGTAGGCACCGTAGTCCTGTGTCAGTGCAGTYGAGCAGTTCTAGAAGTTGAGCTGACTCAACACCCTTTACTTGTCTATCATGTAGAGCTAGCAGGTTGCTCTGTCCTCCAAAAATGGGCAGCAGTAATGGTACTGTAAGTGGTTGTGGCAGTAAGAAATTCAACAGGTCAGCTGTGGAAAGAGCAATTGTTAAAATAAGCCAGATCATCTTGTTGGAACTTGCCAACTGTCTCAATGGAGGATCCTTTAAGGGTTAGGCAGAAATGAGCTTCAGTTCTGTTCATATACAAACTGCATATAAATTTTGAGCTCTTGAGTGAATGACATCCTGACTGCCGATGGTCGGTGTTACAAGTGGGATTAGTACTAGAGTAGCTGAGTTGCAGTGCTAAAAATCTTCTCACTGATGATAACTGAAGAACTTGAGATCTGAAGGTGATCATTTTGAATTATTGAGTTTCATTTATAGTTGATCTCTTCCATATAGTAAACTGTAGAGCTTCAGTAATTGTGCAATCTTAGATGTAAACATATTACAATTGCGTTTTCTGCTAAAGAGAAAATTGGAAGATAATGTGTACAAAAATATCTATGTTTAAAAAAACCCAAAAAGCTGGATTCATCAACCATGAGATTCCTTCCAATACTAGCTTCTATTTTTTTTCTATATTTATCATAGTTTTTGCAGAACTCTTGAATTCTGTTTACAAGAATTCTTCAATAACATTTCTTTTCAAGGGTATCTGCTTGATTCGGATAAACATTTTCGTCTAGAAGTAAGACTATACTCTTTCTGTTCCTTTATTGTCTCTGCTCTCAAATCTGAGTATCTAAATCCTTTCATTCTGTAATTTTCCTAAGAAGAACCTAATCTTCAAATTCATGCTTTACTTTCACTAAGAGGGTGTATGAAATTCTTCAGTGTTTCATAATAGCTGGATCCTTCTTACTTCTAGAAGCTTGTTTCAAAATATTTAATGTTTCCTCTGGAAAAGATCAGTTTTCCCAAGCAGGAGACTTGCAAGGCTTTCCTTTAAATAGTCATGAAAGAAACACAATTTCAAGACATGGTTATCTTTGGTATAGGTTGATAAACAGTTAGAATATCTATGAAATGTTTGTAATGTATGTGTCCTGAATAATTTTATGTCTAAATATTACCCATGTTATGAAAAAAGGGTTTGTTTAAGCACAATACATATATTAAAATCTGTTTTGCATTTTTGATTTTTGGGGGGACTAACAAATGTAGATTATTTGGCCTCTTCTGTAGTATTTAATAGCTACTCTGTCAATTAAGATGTGTTTCACGGGACAGGATCTAATTGATTTCAATTTTTAGAAGAAAGTATTTGGCCTTTGACTAGAGGCTGATTTTCACTTGCTTGAGACTTTTGGTAAAAACTTTCTTTGGGATAGTTTGTCTTGGTAATTTTTCAGTAGATTATAAATACTTTATGGTGTTTTGCAGCTTTCACAGGCTGTATTCTTAGTAATAAAAGCTACTAGGGAAAATGTGGTATGATTAAGATACAAATTATTTTTAAAATAAGRTACATAATGTGATTCCATTCTCCTGTTTCTCAATTTCTTGCAGATTCAGGCTATCAAGATGATGGTTCGATGGTTGCTAGGAATGAAGAACAACCACAGTAAATCAGGAACATCTACTTTGAGGTTGCTAACGACAATATTGCACAGTGATGGGGACTTGACAGAACAGGGGAAAATTAGGTACATAACAGATGGTAACTTTGTGATGTCTCAGATGTTGGGAGAGAATGCACACATTTTAGTCATAATAGTACTTAAATTATTATGCTGCTTAACAATTTCTATACATTTCATTTAATTCTGTAGGAACTAATTGCAAGCTGGACCGAATTTCTACATAAACTTCAGTGTTGTTTTTCTTAACCCTGTAACTATGATATAGCAGGATTTTTGTCATCTTTGCTTTATCTCCTTGTTTGAAGGGCTGTTATTCATATTGCAAGGATAAACTGAGTCATTCCCTCTTTTCCACTGTAAATTGGTTTTAAGTTTTTAACGCACCTTGCCAGTGGACGAATTGTGGCATGTACAAAGGCTGCTAGGAGGGACTTCTAAAAAAAGTAATAGCATATTGCAAGAAAATRGGTGGGACACCTAATAAGGACCTTCTGCTTGAAGGGCAGCCTCTCTTCCTTTGGGAACATTAAAAGGGAAAGGAAGAAGGAAATGTATAAAGATGATCAAGTGTCAGTATAGAAATTCCTTTTAGCTGTTCACTAGACAGGATAATGTTTTTTCTGTGGTAACTTTAGTCCTCTGCTGCAGCAGAAGTGACAAGTTGTTAGTCATTACTGATTGCCAAACGTATTAAAAAATGTGTGGAAGCTTTTTTGATACAGCTGGATTGTCAGTAAGAGTAGAAAGTGAGTCAAGTTACTTTATAAGCAGGGGGACAACCTCTTCATAACTACCCACATAAAAGTGCAGGTAGTTTGATCCTAAGGACTGATGCCCAAGGAAAGCCCCCTGCTCCTCTGCTTTGTCCTGTATTTGGCTTTTTGTTCCTCCCCAGCTAGTCCGGGTTGAAGTTGCTCATGACACTGTGGGTCTCTCACCCGCCTTTCCCCTGTCCCCTCTCTCACACAAAGCAGGCCTGTGTCAGACGCCTCTTACACAGGGGCCACCTTCACTTCCCTCACTTCTCTGTCCCTTATCAGCCTCGATCTCGCCCTGACCCTGCCTTTGTCCCGCCCCTGAACATCCCGCGGGAAGTCCTCTGCATCCCAACATACTCTTGTTCGGTCCTGAAATCCCCTCACCCCCTGATGTGCATCTCTCAGTAATTTCTGTAGCTCTCTCCCGCCCTTCCTTTTCTAAACCTTCTAGAGATGGTTTCTTCTGTTCAGTTGCCTCAGAGCCCTCTTTGGCAGGGGCAGTGAAGATGTTAAGGGTCAGGTTTGGGCTTGGGGTGCCAGCTAGCTCATGCAAGTAAGTTAGGGTGTCTCGTTTTCCCACCTTAATTTCTGTCTGTCTGGGTGCTGATCTCTTGGTTCCTCTGATCACTGCCTGGTCTTTGTGCTCTGAACAGCCATTAGCCTGTGTGCTACCTAYACAGGCTGCAGCAGGATCTATTTGGAGCTTGTCAAGTGGATCTCCCCTTTTCCAAGCTGGTGAAAGCTGCAGGCTGCGTGCAGCTTGGTCTCCCTACGTGAGGGCCCATGGCGCCTTCACCAACAAGTGCTCCCAACACCTGGAATGTGGGAGAGCAGCTTCGTGTGTGTTAGTTCTGCACGGAGCTTCCTGGGGTCAGACGCTGCCTGGGCCACTTATCTTCCCCCGTTGAGAACATGGTGCYGCCTCCTTTCTGGTTACTGCTAAGGTGGTCTCTCCTGTGCAAACCTGACACTGTACCTTTCAGGTTAGGTGGCTTTGGAGGTTAGCCCCAAACCTGCTAAGTTGTGCTGGGTCTGATGTCATTCTGTGTAGAATCAGTTTTTATGTTCATGGCTTTTACTTACAATAATGTGTAATCTGCTAAGGATAGTTCAGTTCAGTAAAAGGAGTCTCATGTAGACCGATTATCGTATTGCAGAGATCTTGTTTTCAGTGCCGTTTGTTTTGGTGTTATAAAATGCTCTAATCTTRGTGTTTCATGTTGTTAGAAGTTTGCAATGCATTTTTGGAGCAATTTCTGGAGTATTTCTCAACTATAAAAATGGCTACTTCATCTCCCTTTCTAAATCAGTACAACTGTACTTTTTCAGTAGCAGTACAAGGGAATGGGATTTATTAAACTGTAAAGCTTGATTCAAGCTCGGAATCTCGGGTAAAGACAAGACCACATTTGTAAAAATAAATAAATAAAAAAAAAATTAATAAACCAGCCGACTTGTACTGCTGTTCACCTCACTTTGAAGTAATTGACATAGGTGACTTTGAATAACTTGTAATTTTTAGAGAATAATTGCTTTGAAATGATAATATGCATAGGTTAAACTTCCTAGTGTCAGAAACAGTTTAATTATTTTTACTGAACCAGTTCAAGCTCTTGAGTACCTTCCCGGTCTTTATTTTGGACTCTTGTAAATCAAAAGCAGTTTAACAAATTTTAGACTTGAGATCGAACTGACTTTCTATTTCTGATCAAATAAAACAGTTTAATTTTATGTGCCTTCTTTGTAATGGTATTTCTACTTTATTATAAGCATAAAATCAGTATTTGACTATTGAGGTACACCAGCTGGTGCGGAAAGTTTTGGTATTAGACAGGAACCTGATTGAGATATTTCTGAGATGCCATCTGTATTTTTCTCAAGTAGAAATTTACCAAGAACAAAATGACTTAAAGCTACAAAAACCCAAGTATTTATAATTCTGTGCTGTGACCCACTGTCCCATGTGACATGCAACAGCAGCAAAGCCTTCAGATTCTGGAAGAGCTTTTGGTCCTRTGGAACATGGATGTTGCTAACAAAATTGGATGCTGGCATCTGTCTTCTATGGAAAAAACAGTTAACTAGTGAGAGAAGGTAGATGATTATGCAGCAGATGGGTTTTCAAGATGCATTTATTTAGATTATCTTTGCAGCCTACTACCTTAATTAAGACTAACTGTCTCCTGTTTGATAACATCTTTCCCTGCGGTCGCGCTTCTGTTCTCGTTTCGAATCTCTGGTGTTCAGAGGCTGGAGTAGCAAACTGGAACGTAAATGTCCAAGTCCCCTGCATAGTTCTTGAGACGCTTCTAGTAACTAGTTAAGGCAGTCATCCTTGGTAATAATAACTTTAATAATGATTAGAAGAGCTTGGAAACTACATTTGAATTGGTCTGTGGGGTTTTTGTTTGTTTGTTTCTGGCTTTAAAACTGTGGATCTTAGAATAACTTAGATTTGAAAACAATTTACTATAGCATTTTGAACAAAAATAATTCCTCTATTAAAAATGAGTGGGATGGATGGGTGATTTTTTTTTTTTTTTTTTTTTTTTTTTTTTTTTTTTTTTTTTTTTTTTTTTCTCTCTTGGAGAATAAGAAGGATCTGATCATCATTTTAATTGCAAGCGGGACACTCACTGATGACACTCTCTTGTTTCTCCTTCCTGTGTACATGCTTATGGATATTTCTGTGATGCAAATATGACTTACGCTCCTTAAAGATTTAGCCAATTTATGCAAAATCTCTTTGATTCAGGTTTTCAGAGTTAAATGTTAACACTGCCAAAACTGAGTAAGATTGAAAGTTCTTAATTTTATCCTTCCCTTCAGCTTRCTCGTTCTGTAAGAGCAAATCATTATTGCTCAATTGTCATTGAGGTACAAAGATGTGAATGAATTTTTATTGGCTTCAYTTATCAAAGTAGATTCAATTTAAAATTTAACATTTAAGAAGTAAATTTTATTATGTACATCTTTATGTCCTATTTGAAAGTCAGTCCATCTTTCGTCATCTCTTTATGCATGATTTATGTGTGTTTTTGAAAAGTGTTGATTGCTATAAACTACTGAGAAATATGTAAAGCTTGATGAGATATTTTTGAGGTTTGTGTATTTTGGATATTTTTTATTGTATCTGCTAACTGTATTTGACAGTAGCTTTATTCTTGTTGTTGAAATGCTTTACATAGYTTTAATGATAGTGGATTTAAGACACAGGACTTTCTGTTCCTAAGGATAAAGGGCAAATGGTAAAGGAGTTGAAAGCTGTTTATTCTACCCCAATAAATATTTACTTATAATTATGAATAAACTGTGATTCCTGCTGCAATTTATTAGAGGAAAAAGCTGTATTTGCTACTTCTGAATAAATTCATTCATAGTTTATTAACGAAGAAGCATAAAATACCTTAACTTCTTTTTTCTTTTTTTACCATTTGAGCTTAATTGATGACTGTTCATTGGAATGAGTTTCTAAAAAATACTGAACATTAAGTTTATTAATGCACAGATTAAGTGGATGTCAGTTTGTAAAGACCCTGCAAAGATAGTTTTGATGTTCTGAAGGCCTTTATAAATAGGATAGTAGATTGTAGACCAATCCATTTATTGATCTGAAAAATAASAAATGGTTTTGCTACATGGGTATGCAATTTAGGTGAACATGTGAAGTAAAACTACTTGCAACGTGTTGAAAAAACTTGTATTTCACACCTACTTTTGGACATCATCTTAGAAATACTAAGTTAATTTAGTCYCCTATCATAATACTTGATTTATCTTTAACGTATGTAGAAGAGATACAGCATGGATCTTGAACTGTCTATACTGGAATAATTTGGAATTGCTCATAAAGGAATATCAGGATATTTTTGGCCACATTAGGCCTCTTCCAGGGAGTACTTGCATTGCTCTGTTGGTGCAGTGTAATGGGTTTGTGGCAACAGCTCCTCAATGTGGTGGCTTGAAAACTACTTTTGGTTTCCAATTACTTCTATTGTTGCTTTGAAAAGGGGAGGAAAAACTCAGATGATATTTTATGCTTTTAATACTTTTTTTTYCCCCTCAACAATGCAAATGTAACATGATCTAATTAAGTCAATTATGTATATGTGTATATTTAGCTAATTAACCATCATATCTATGTCCTTATTTTGCAGTAAACCAGATATGTCTCGCTTGAGGCTGGCTGCGGGGAATGCTATTGTGAAGCTGGCCCAGGAACCCTGTTACCATGAAATCATCACCCTAGAGCAGTACCAGCTGTGTGCACTAGCCATAAATGTAAGRAAGCTGGTGATGAAGTGTAGATACCAGCAAATGTCTGTGTGTGTGTGTGGTGTTCATTATGTTGTGCATCCTGCTACTAATCTCTGATCTCATGCAAGAGCCTCAGACTTGACATGAATTTGTTTTTCCCATCTTATTCGACAGTTRGGTCTCTAATTCTACCCCGTGTAGCAATATGCTCAATATTCCAGTACCACCCAGTAGGGGAATGGCAACTTGTAGTAGTGATGTGTTAGAATACTGAATCAAGGAATTCAACATTCTTTTGAAATAGTATCTCAGAAGCAATATGACATTATTAAAAGTTGAAACAAGATGATGTAAGTTACTTAAGACTCGGTGACATTGAAACTTTGGAAACTTGGAAGAATATACTTGAGACGCGGATCTGCAGAGAGAGTTGCCCTTCTTTAGATATTAAGAGCTAGGAGGGATTTCTCAGTAGATGCAGGGAGGCACTATATGTGACTTCTGACGTTAAGACCRAGATCGGGAGAAGTACTTCTCAGAATATAGGCAGAAATGGAGAAAYTGTCCATGCTCTTGCCTCATAAACCCTGTAAGTTCTTCAGAAATTATTTTTTACCTCCAGCCTCTGCCATCCCTTCCTCTCCTATATATTCTAGTAAATCCAAGAGAAGTAAAGAGATCATGGAGGGATTCACATATATTTTAAAAATATAACTCCYGTATGAATATTGTTTTTTGGTGAGAAATTGCCTTTTTTAATTTAAGTTCTTTAGAAATGTATTTAGGTCAGGAAAATCGTTCATATACTGAAATAAGACTGTCCATATTATGCTTGTGTATCAGTTTAATAAAGTGTTGTGTGTGGCTTTTGAACTTCTGTGTCCCATATGCAAAGAGCATTTCCCCGGTTCTTATATGCCTTGAAAACCTAAGGAAATATGACAAAACCTAAACAACAACATAAAAATGAAGCCAAAGAAAAATGCGTTAGAAATTCAGTGCTAATAATCGAAGATCCTTGCACCACAAAAAAGGACTTCTGCTCTTCATCCTTTCTTTTAAGTGATGTTTTATGTCAAAACTAATTTTAAATGTTTTTACACTTCAGAAAAATAGAAGAGGGGAAAAATAGCCACTTACTGTAATGACAAATAAGATCTGTTGTGTTCTAGAAATTAGAAATATCCTAAATGTTAATCTTGCAATTCTCCTCTGTCAAAAATCCTTTTTCATTGTTTGGAAACATTTCTCAGTATATCAGGTATAAGCTCCTTGTCCTCCCTTATTTGATTGTCTCTCCTTTTTTCATGTGTACCTCTATTTTCCAGCTGTATCTGTCTTAGCTGTTTGTGAATATGGGTATCCACGTGAATATGGGTATCCACATGCATGGTTGCCTTCTTTGACTCTCAAAGCTTATCTGCCCTGAACTTTTTGAAGGAAATTTTCACAGAGATGAGACTGAAATGAAAACCAGTTGATAGGATCATCAAGAATAAGAACTACTTTAATATCATACCTTAATATAGTATCACTCTTGTACCTCTTCTCTGCATTACTGGCATTTCTTTGTCTTTTTGTGACCTTCTCATTTTGGCCTTACCAAAGTTTAGATTCTAAACTCTATCAGGACAGGACATCTCCCTCCGTTTCCCTCTGAGGTTCGCAGTAGACTTTGTGTACTTAGTCACATATAAATAACTTTTCTAGATCTTGGTGTTTTCTTCTCTTTCTGTGACAGTCCATTAAGTTCAGGTACTCACATCCAGTGTAACTGGAAGCACTGGCACTAATGGAAATTTTGCACTTGTAAGTGTTTCTCTCATAGGCAGCCATCCAGATATCTGAGTTTTCAGAKGTTTGCATATATATGTATGCTTAGAATGTTTAGTGTTTAGTTTAGTGTTAGGGCCCCTGTATTGAAGGCAGGCATTTCATATTTTACGACTGTATTCCTTTTAACACTTCCTGTGCCTAGTCATCAACCAGAACATCCACATGGTATCAAGGTGAGCCCTGATATGCCGTAATTTGGTTTATAGCAAGTTTTCTTCAGCAGACTTTTCAGGAAATAGATTAAAGAAAAGGAGAAGTTTGATTTATTTTTATGTTCTATAGTTGTTATACAAGTTCTGCTAGGGTTCTTTGCTCTTGTATTTCCTTTTTTGAGAGTTGCTTTGTAATAGTGTGTGGGTAGTGTAAAATGATTAGAGAGCACAACACAATTAATTGTTATTGCTCACTGCTCTATTAAGGTCGTGCTGGTAAACAGAGAATTTATGATGATTAAATGCGTGTAGTTGTATTGTTTCTAAAAAGTTATGCCTAGGTTTGTCCCAACCTGTAATCTCATGCGTAGTTACACTCTTTCATCTGCAGAACAAATTGCTGGGTGACAGCAAAGCTTCATATKGAATGAAATATAAAATAATTGAGCACTTGAGAGCCAAGCACTACAATATTCATCAGACCTTAGAGTCAGACTTAAAATTTAATAAGTTTTACTGTTGAAAATGCTCTTTTAATTGTTATTTGAATAAATCATCTAGATTGCTTAAGCTTCATGAGTAAAAACGTTTTTAGGTTTCCTCCTATTGGTTTTCTTCAATTAGGAGAGCAAAAAGGCGGAACTGGGCGTATGTTGTTAAAAATAGAGGGCTGGCTTTAGTTTGGTCACCGCTCCTATCAGTTAACTGGTATCTGAATGTAAGGTTTTCCTTTAGGAGATGAAGAAAAAGATATAAAAATCACTCCAGTTAGTTCCACACAAGCCTGCTGCTTCTTCAATGCCCCCACGAGGCTCTGGGCTTAGGTGGTGCCGATGACCGGGAGCAGAGGGCTCTATTTTAGTATTTGACTGCAGTAAAGCTGTAAAGACTGGTTATATAGAGAGGCAGTAGGTCTTGAGGGGGATGTTACAGACCCCCGATGTTGTAGCCTTGGGTGGCTGCAGCTGCCTCAGTGAGCTCTGGCTCCAGAAAACATTACAGGGCTTCACGGTGGCTCTGCAAAAGGTGGCTCCACCTTGGAGCCTGGAGTGAGAATGGGGTCTGAATCCCGTCTCCTGGACAGGAGGGGAGAAGCAGCTGGTTCTACCCAGTGTGGGTTCACCCATTTGGGTGTTGTTTTTTTTTCCCCTGGTTTTTGTTATTTTTATTTAAATAGAATAACCAACTATTCCTGCTAATGTTCTCTTTGTCTTTAGAAGTAGCTTGGTCTTGGTTTTGGCTGCTTGGATGTGCCAAGCTGCACGGGTGCTCTCCATGGCCTTGGATGCTTGGTGCACTGGAGGATGCCTTGAAATATACAGATTATTTTTGTTCATATTACTTGACTTTGTGTACTTTGACAACTAGTGCACAGGGGTTACTTGCCTCTGCTCTGTGTTGTCTCTCAGGTGTGCACATTGTAATAGAAACACTTAGTACTCTCTTGAACACATGACCATTATCTTACCCTGTTGAATTTTATTCTGTTTCTAATATTATTGGCTTGACAAAAACTTGTGAAACTGCAGTGGTAAAACTTCCTGTTACAATTTTTGTTTTAATAGGATGAATGTTACCAAGTGAGACAAATATTTGCTCAGAAACTTCACAAAGGCCTTTCTAGGCTACGGCTGCCACTAGAATATATGGCCATTTGTGCACTGTGTGCGAAGGACCCCGTGAAGGAGAGGAGAGCTCACGCGAGGCAGTGCCTCGTGAAGAACATAAACGTGCGGAGGGAGTACCTGAAGCAGCACGCAGCAGTCAGTGGTAAGAAACAGAAGTCCCTTCACAGTGTAACTGCTGTTGTTAAAATGTAAATGGGAAGAGAATGAGAAAGTGTTGTTTTACTGTTTATATACATAGAATGGTTGTAAACTTGTGGTTTTCACTTAGAGATATATCTGATGAAAACTACACATAGAGGGTGCATTTTCTTGTGAGCTTTTAAAAAGCTGTTCTGAATCCCTCAGTTTGGTTAGGAGTTGTGCACTTGCTGAGGCTTAGGTATCAGAAGTAAAGCAGTTGTTCAGAGGCACTGTTAGATGTGGGTACTGTCAGAGTGTAGTGATTTTGTTGTAAATGAACTGACAGTGATTTATTTGAATTCTCTAAATAWTTCCTTTATGACACTATATAACCTATGTGACACTAAATAACCTTTATGACACTATAATGCATTAGCTTAGCTCTTTGAGCTCCTGTATGGAGTTCAGCTTCTTTGAAAGACTGTGTTTTAGGTGCTTCAGAATCAGTTTATTCCTTTTCTTCCATGTGACAGCAGCCTGCATCTTCACACTCACTCTGAGTTGTTATGGACCAGTGTTACTGCCTTACTTGCCTCTTTTGATTTACTTAAAGCTACTTACATGCAATATGCCCATATACCTGGGTTGTCATATGTTTGAAGCAGACCTTTATGAAAAGCTTAAAGCATTTTGAACGAGAGTATTGGGAAGCTAATTTCTTCTAAAGGTTCCTGATGATTCTTGGCTTGGCTCTTGCATGAAATGAGGCTTTTTTCATTTTCTTTCTTTTCATGTCACTGGATAAATCAGGCCTATTTTGTGAATTTGTCTATGCTATCAAATAACTGATTTAATTCTTCATTTACGAAGCACAGACTTTATAGTAGCCAAAGAGCTTCATACCAGTCTGTGTATAGCTCAGTCCTCTTCAGAATTTGGGGAAGGAGTGTGTATGTGGAGAAATCCTTTCATATGTTCTTAATTAGACTTTTTAAAAAGAAATGATCTCAGTTTTCTCCCATAATAATGTTTAAAAAAAAGAAAAAGGGAAAAAAGTTCAGTAAGTACCTTTAAGTCGTCCTGAGACTGTGAGTCTTAAAGGTTGAAGTCATTTTTCAGCCACGTGGGAGGGATGTGCAGTCATAACTCTCAWGTAACTGAAAGCAATTGCAGATTTCCTGACGGCCTCAGAACAGGTATCGGGAAGCTGCGCTCGGAGCTGGGCGGCCGCGCGGGGAGGAGGCGGCCGAGCGCCRGGCTGCCGTGCCTGCAAATGCTGCAGCTACCCAGTTAACGTTGAGGGATTCGTGTTGACCGGTGTGAGCCATTCAGCAAACGGATTCTAGCAAAAAAATAGCAAAAAAAAAGTAGCAGAAAAATCTTAGAACTGAAGCCTGTTTCTTTTTGAAAAGAAGCAAAAAAAAAAAATAGATTTAAATCTGCTTTGGTTAATGTGTTTTCTTAATTTATATGTATTAACATGACTTTGATATCCATGTAGCATGTTTCTGTGATATYCATGTAGCATGTTTCTGTAATGTTTGGATTTGGAGGCTAAATGTCATATTAATTATAAGTGGAGCACTGTTGTTTGGTTAGTAATGGCATTTTTCAATCCAATTTCAGACTAAGTAGCTTGATAGAGGTGAGGGAGGATTGTGTAAATGGCCTGGAATTAGTGTCATTTGTGTTAAGATTTATTCTTTCTGGTCTGTTTGAGTTTGGTTGGCTTGGTGGCAAGTGGGTCTGGAAAACACTAGTACTAATGTACTATATAGGTACATTAGAAATTATATAAAGAAGTTAAACACTCCCATGTTCATGAACTCTCGAAGAGCATTCTATTGCAGGTGCAAATTTGCCCAAGCAACAGCAAGTTGAGTCACCCAGGACACATTTAAAATAATCTAGAGTTATCTGGAGCATTGTGTCCAGTTCTGGGCTCCCCAGKACAAGAGGGATGTGGAGCTGCTGGAGAGAGTCCAGCGCAGGGCTACCAGGATGAYCAGGGGCCTGGAACATCTGCCCTACGAGCAAAGGCTGAGAGAGCTGGGCCTGTTCAGCCTGGAGAGGAGAAGGCTGAGGGGGGACCTGATCAGTGTGTATAAATACCTCAAGGGAGGCAGTGAGGAGGAGGGGGCGGCCTCTTTTCAGTGATGGACAGCGATAGGACTAGAGGAAACGGCCACAAGCTGAGGCACCAAAAGTCCCACAGGAGCTTAAGGAAACATTTCTTGACAGTGAGGGTGACAGAGCCCTGGAAGAGGCTGCCCAGGGAGGCTGTGGAGTCTCCTTCTTTGGGGATCTTTAAAACCCCCTTGGATGCAGCCCCGTGCCCTGAGCTGTGGATGTCCCTGCGTGTGCAGCGGGTTGGACTAGACGATCTCTAGAGGTCCCTTCCAACCTAGGGATTCTATGAAGCCGGTTTTACTAATGAACTGAAATCACAGTGATGCACTTACTGCTTTTTGCCACTTCTTGCTTTTTTCTTGTTATGCGTACAACTCATAGCGAAAATGCAGGGCAGTGCTTCAGGGAGTGCTTCAGTGCTTCATTTAATAGCAGAATGTCGGTTGGAATATTTACTGCTTCATTGAGTACATTGCATTTCAATTAGTTGAATTTGTGTTTATATATTTATAAAGCTGATTGGTTTGTGTTTTATTTTTTGCTTTAAATTTAAATTTAAATTTTTGTGTAGCAGATGTGTTATTCTTGCTATGGTTGTCTAAAGATGTATGCTCGGAATTGGAACTTGTCAGGGTTTTCTGTGGGCCTTCATTTATATTGAATACCTTCTCTGCTCTCCCTGCTGTTATGACTGAATCTAAATATTTTATATAGCCTGTGCATTCTTCCTACTTACACAGACTTTTAAAAATAGAGTAGATTGAACAAGACTTGACTTTGGCATGGCAATTGTGTAGTTGCGAAAATGTGCAACAATCAAGTTTTTTTTTTTTTTTTTTTTGAGATATGCAATGTCTCTCAAGCACATTTTATGTGAATGCATAAACTGGGAATGTCAACATTTTAATGCATTTAGCTTTCATATACAATTGTATATAATGACTTATATCTGGACTGGTTATTTGTAGCCTAATACAGAAAAGATAAAAGCTTATTGAAACCACATTTGTCAGACTTGGTCATGTGTTTCAGCCCTCATTACTTGTTCAAACAAGTAACTAGGTGCCTTTTTAAAAAAGGAGGGAGGGGAGAAGGGGCACAGGAAGAAGACAAGTTCCTGCTCTTACATATTTAAGATCATATGTTTATTCAGAGGCACATTTGTATATTTGCATTGGCCACAAGTCGTCAAATACGATGCTTTTTACCATAGCAGTATCTGCAGAATTAGGCCAGAAAAGGTAGTGTAGACTTTCTGTGAGCAATGACTTTTGACTCTGGCTTAAAGCTTCTCTGTCTCTTGTTCTAGCCATCTTCTAGGATATGAACTTTTTCATTCTAATTTTTTTCACTGAGCTTTCAGGTATTGAAAGCTCATTCTGTGTAAGTCTAGTTAGCTCAGGAGTTTGTGTTTGTTCCCTGGTGGGACGTGTGTTTTATGCTTGTTGCTCTGACGCTGATTTGGGCAACAGTTCTCACTCTTGAATCTCCTGAGGAGCTTTCACCATCAGGCTGAAGCAAGACAGGCTTTCTTCCTACGTGACCTTGCTTAGCACTGGTTACAGTTCCTACAAGATGATAGAAAAAAAATTAAAGCTTCAGATGGCACAACTCAGTTGAGCTTCTCTGTTTCCAGAGAGATCAAACCTTTCAGACTCAATCTGTCACTTCTTTGTCACCGAAGCCATCAGGTTATGTCCCTTCCTTCCCCTAAAAAGATAAGGAAAGCTCTATGTTTGGAGAACACGACTGCAATTTGACTACATTATGTTATTTTGGAAAAGGGCACTTTCTGTTCTCTTGCCAGCAGGGCTCTATGATGACACGTCCAAAAGCAGAATAGTAGCTCATCCTGTAATTGTGTTGCTCCCAGGCATTGCAATTAACATGGATTTTGCAATCTGTCCTCACTTCTTTCCAGACCTTCTCAGAATGCAGGCTTTGAACTGAGGAAAGGATTGAGGGGAAAGGCTGTGGTTGTATTCTTGCAGTGGCTAAGTATCCAGCCCTGAGATACTTAAAATGTTGATCTTTGTACAAGTGAAACATCAGTGATGAGATCCATAATACAGTAGCATCGCAGAGCAATTCTAGGCTCTCATATATCAACACTTTAATGTATGCTGACCATAAAATTTGCCCTTTTCTGTGTAGTGGAAAAGTACATTTCCTGATGTGCAGTCAGTTTTCTAATGCATTTTCCTCTGCTTTTCAGAAAAACTCTTGTCTCTCCTACCAGAATATGTTGTTCCTTACACTATCCACCTTCTAGCTCATGACCCAGATTATGTTAAAGTCCAGGACATCGAACAGCTCAAGGACATCAAAGAGTAAGACTGTTTTTAATAATCTTGTTTTTGAGGGTTACTGTCAGCTGGCTTTCTAAGTGAAATTCTAATTTACTGAGCGTCTTGATAAAGTTTCCAGGACACAGTAATCATGGTGGTACCTTTCTTCAAATATTCTGAGAGGGGAAACGTGTATGGGTTGTTTAGTGTTCTGTGCTATCTTATGCAGAGGAAYCTTCTCCAATAAGGGATATTTTTTCTGCTCATGCTACTTACATTGCTTCAAGTGAAGCAGTTTCCTAAAGTTAAACTCTTGACTGTCAGATTCAGACTACTTGCTAGAGCCAGAGTAAACCATTKTGTTTCAAATGTCTTTTTTCTTATTTTAGTAGTTTTTCATTTATTCATTTTAATTAATGAGGAGTGCTGTATTTCTCCTTTAGATGCCTGTGGTTCATACTGGAAATATTGATGGCTAAAAATGAAAACAACAGTCATGCATTTATCAGAAAAATGGTGGAAAATATCAAACAGACTAAAGATGCTCAAGGACCAGATGATCAAAAAATGAATGAAGTAGGTGKTATTTGGATTGGAAATTGCATTTAGGTCTGACCTAGTTCTGGAAATGAGTTGCATTTTTCTCTACCCACCAACTTTAAAATGCCTTTCAGTAAAAATTTATGTGGGAAGTAATACTCWGTGTACTGTAGTGATCACTTTTGTTGTAGTTTCAATATCAGTTTTTCTGTGCTTCAGTAGACTTTGTATATTTGCAAGGAGGTTGTAATTATCATCCTTATGTTTCTGTCTCAGTAATATTATGGAATAAAACCTTTAAATATATATAAAATATAATTTTTGCTCCTTATGTAATCAAGCAAAGTGCCTTCTGCTTTGTAATATTTTTAARAGTATGTGATGTTTCAATTAATATAGGAAGAAAAATAAATGCATCAGATGTTCCTAATTTTTCTTCTGTAGTGAAGGTATCGAACCCTGATCCTGTTTTAAATTTTTGTATCACCTAATATAGAAACTTTTGTTTGTAACTTTCTTACCTTTTCCATACCTTGTCTGAGATTTGTTAGCTTTGTCTTCCAAACCATGGAGTACCCCATTCTGGAGGGTAGGGAGAACATGGAAGTCGTCTCTGGGTGTATCCTTGTTTCTGTCTTTTGCTCCTTTCTTTTAGTGCTGTGAAACACTGCTTAAGATGTGCTCTAGTGTTAGTGTTCAAGATGGTTATTTTAAACTGTTCTTCCCATTCTGTGCTCAAAACCTGCTGTTTCTGTCAAAATTTGTGATAAACTTCTAAAGGTTCTTTTGTTTAAATTTTTAAAWTTTTTTACAGAAACTCTACACAGTCTGCGATGTAGCAATGAATATCATTATGTCAAAGAGCACAACGTACAGTTTGGAATCCCCTAAAGACCCAGTACTTCCAGCCCGATATTTTACTCAACCTGACAAGGTATAGCTTGAAACTTAAGTTTTCTTAAGATAACGATCAATTTTTTTTTTTGTAAGAATGGTTATGCTGTATTGCAGTAGTCTTGTGACTTTAGACTTTTTCCTGCTATAATTTAGTTGAAGGTGTATGTGTCTTCATCTGTATTTTATGTATGTGTACACACATTTGAAAGGAGGTGTTAATATTTGAGTTTAACATTTCAGAAGAAGGTAAAGAATATTCAGTATATTGTGTGAACAATTTAGAACCTACTATATTTATCTTTGTTTTTTCTTGTTCTTCCYTTTACAGAATTTCAGTAACACCAAAAACTATCTTCCTCCAGAAATGAAGTCTTTTTTCACTCCTGGAAAGGTATGCATGTAACTATGTGTGGTTTTTTTTTCATTTTCTTAGAAAAACTAACCTGTGCAGTGAATTAAACAGTTTGAGATTAAGACTCTACAACCTCTGTGGACAGCCTGTTCCACTAAGCAGTTGCTCTCATAGTAAAACAGGTGTGGGATTGTTTTTCTTAAATTCAGACAGAACTTCCTGTGTTTCAGTTTGTGCCCATTACTTTTCATGCTGTTACTAGGCACTAAAGAGAAAGGCCTGGATCTGTCTGTCCCCTTTATGGGGTGTCTAAACACATTAATAAGCCCTCCCCACCACAAGCCCTCTACTGTCTGGGCTGAACAGTCCTAGTTCTGTCAACCTCTAGTCCCTTAATCATCTTGGTGGCCCTCTGATGGACTTATTCCAGTGTGTCCGTGCCTGTGTTGCGYTGGGGAGCCCAGCAGTGGACCCAGCACTCCAGGTGTGACCTCCTCAGTGTGTGTCGAGGGGAAGGACAGGKTCCCTCAGGCTGCTGGCCACACTCCTCTTCAAGCAGCCTAGGGTGGACTTGTCCACAAGGACCTCTCCAAGTCCTTCTTTGCAGAGCCATGGAACTGAGTGAAAAAGCAGCAGCAGTATACTTAGACACATAGAACTTTACAAATTTTGCACTTAAATTATACAAGTTTTACCATTTTACGTTTTTTCCCCCTTTTTTAAACCATTTTACAGTTTTTGCAATGGAAGACTAGCTTGCGTAGACACTAGTGATAAGCAGGGAATGGTGCTACATCCGTCTGAGGGCAAGAGGGCTTTGACTGTGGGTTCTGTGTTAAGGGAGAAAGTTAATACAAGCCTTTCAGGATGAAACTATGAACCCATGGGTCTGAATTCATACTGCTGAACTTTTGTTCTTACTGATAAATGTTAAGTTCTGAACTAATAGATGTAAATTCTTAACACAACTTGGAGTAAAAAAAGAGTTTGGAGAAACTATTCCATGTTTTTCATACTCAACAAAGAGTGATGTTTTTGCTGTAAGTGTAGAATTCACTGAATTACGTATAAAAACATAATGGGCATGTCCATGGTGCACATGTATCAAAAGGAGGACGTGCTTTTTTTTTCCTCCAGATCTTGTCAACTTAAGTCATAACCAAAATCTAATATTGAAATAGAAAATAGATCATCTTAAGTACTGTGAAATTTGGTGAATTCTGTGAAAGAGCTCAGTGATAGGAGTGATCTTTAGTTCCTTGATGTTTTTGTGCATGTGTGTTGGCCATAAACATGTGTCCTGTTTCGGAGTAGCTGAACCTCTCTCAGCTGTCACGCCAGTTGGTGTGAACTGGGGGGCTTTGCCATGTCTGCAAATTTAAATAGCCTGGGTTCACTGGTGTCTGGGACCAGTTAACCATTTTTAAATATATGTATAATGCCTCAGAATCTCCTCCAGAACATCTGGTTTTTGAGGTGCTTATTCATTCCTATTTGAAGCTAGTGTGATTTGCCGTTACATTTAAGCCAGTCTCATGGCTGACTTCCCGAAAGAGCTGTCCTGCTTCTGCTGCTCAGCTGGTGCAGGTGCTTAGCTGGTCCAGAAAACAAACTGCTCAAAACGTGGTTAAATGGCAGGTTAGATGAGTGCCCCCATGCCAGTAATTCAGTATAAAGCTTGGGAGAGTTGGCACTTTGGGGTTTGCTAGTTATTTGATTTCAGCTCTCCGAACTTAACGGCTTCTGTTGTAACTTTGGTATTTAAATGTTTGTTGCTTTGTGTTGTAATTAAGATACTGATTGCAGAATGTGAAATTTGTGAGTATTTTAAGCATAGCATATGTTATTTCAGGCTAGATATGAAATCTCTAAATGTGTAGATTAAAGGAAATATATTTTTGGTTTCAGCCCAAAGCAGCCAATGTTCTTGGAGCAGTTAATAAGCCTCTTTCGTCAGCAGGCAAGCAGTCTCAGTCCAAATCTTCACGAATGGAAACTGTAAGCAATGCCAGCAGCAGTTCAAACCCAAGCTCTCCAGGAAGGATCAAAGGGAGGTTGGTAGACAACAAAGCAGCTTTGATATTTCAAGTATTTGTAATGGAAGCTTTATATTTCTATAACACTTTATAAGTGAGAGACAGAACTCTCTTCTCATATGTTGAAGTTAAGGTTTCAAGTACTGGTATAACTGAAACAAAGAAATTGGCACTCTAACATCRGAAACAAATTTAAGATACATAAAAAAAAAATCCTTCAGCCATTTACACAAATATGAACAAATCATATTCAGGTTGACTGAAGAGAGGAAGGAGGCTTGTATGTAGCTTGTGCATCTGCAGTTCCTGGCAAGCTTGTGGCCAGCTCTCAGCACAGATAGGGCACTGTGGTGATGTGGCCTGACTTCCTCCTGTGTAAATTTGTCCTGGACTTTGCAGATGAGAAAAAATTTGAAGAGATTTCAGAAGAATTAAAATTTGGGGTTTTGGATTACTTCAGTGATGGACAGGAATATACTGTGATGATASTCTTCTAATAAGTCTTCGAATTAATTGTCTGTAAAATTCATCCCTTATTGTTGTTTCTAGGGTCTTCATCGTCAGTGTCTTTCAGTGTTCACTTGTTTAACTGAAAGTCACATTATCATTAATTTTTCACGGAAATTCACAGATTGTGAATGCCGTGTTATTCATCTTTTCTCACCTGAATTCAGGACTGAAGAAAAGTTCAGTTTGGAACTAGGACTTTTCATTCATCCATGACTAATATGTAAGAAGAAATTTAAATGTAGCTCAATATGTTYTAACCAATACTTTTCAAGTCCCTGGGAAGTCCCCAGGAAGGCTTCCTCACAAGAAGTCATGGGGTTCACATACACAGTTTGTTACTGCCTAAACACAAGCTGGAGTCCAAGTTCCTCTCCATGCCCAGTGAAACGAAGCCAGAGCCAGTTTCCTTTAACCAAACCGGCTGCATTCCCAGCCTAAGATATTCTGGCTTCTTTCTAACCTCTGTTCAYGTCAGTTAAACTGATCAGCATTTTGAAGGATGACACGAAAGAGCAGCGGAAAAAAGAAACCCCCCTGTGTAACTGATCATAGTGATTTCTTTAGTATGACTGACCATGACAGACACAGAAGCTGAAATAACAACTAAATTGCTTGCTTAATGCTACCCCGAATAACAAATGAAAGCTGAGGGATGAGCTGGTCTATGAAATTTAAATATGCTATTTTATTGCATAAAGCTCAGCATAGCGTGCGTGCTTTGGCTGGCCTGTCTGTGGGCGGCTTATCGTGCTTGATACATAAAAGTGTGTGCAAGTATATGCAGATGCACAGATCTCTTTGTAGCTCAGTGGGGTTTTTCTGTTTCAGAACTGGTGGAATTTTCTTTTTTTGCTGGGAAATATATGCTCTGTGATTTGTGATAGACAGCCTTGTCCTGAGACTTAGCTGTTCTGGCTTGTGATATCAGGTGATTGCTATAGAAACCCCAGCGAAAGCTGCAATGCTACCAGATTGTCTATGGTTTAGGAATAGATTTCTTCTGAAGATTGTTGCTGTTATATTTGATTTAATGAATGCTTGCTGTATTGTAGTAATGAAAAGAATAAATGTATTTATTTCAGGCTTGACAGTACTGAAATGGACCATAGTGAAAATGAAGATTTCACATTAACTTCGCCATTACCAGGGAAGAAAGCTGACAAACGAGACGACTCTGATCTTGTAAGGGTGAGCTGTTTGGCTGCTTTGCCAGTGTTTCATTGAGTCAACAGAACTTAAGAAACTGGTGTGGTAATACTTGATATCATTAAATCACACGTGCTTTACGTGAACTTGAGTTGATGACGTAAACTCCTGCACAAAGTGCGTTAGATCTGGAGATTAAAATGCAAAGATACGCGTTCAGTTTGTCCATTTTGGATGGGCATGTTACCTTTGTACCATGCTGACAATTTTTGTAAGCCATCAAGACTACTTGGTATGATTTGCAGGATATTGATAGGATCTGGTGTTGTTGGAGCGAGGGTGATGAGACTTAATCTGTGTCTCACACTCGGGATTCATCGATGAAGCAGTTGGAATGCTCAGTTTGCCAGTGTGTTTGGACTCCTTTTACCCAATATGCAGTGACTTATTGTTTTACTGCGTGTTTGACAGTTCCTCAGAATATAGCTGTACAAGATTTACTTGAATTAGTTTGRTTAACTGTGTAGGAGTTTGGGGAGAGTGGTTTAACCACTTGCACGTTGCCTCTGCCAATGGGAAGATCTGTTTTATTACGGGGTTTCTGGTGTGTGTCTCGCTAGCAGAGTTGTCTCAGTAGCTGTGTTGAATCTGTCTTCTTGCATGAAACTTCCTATATAGTAGCAAAGGCAGGAAAAATGCCTGGTCCTGCATGYTAGGTCTCCCAAGCAGAAGTTGCAGCGTGATTTTAAATCTGTGTGTGTGTGGAAAGGTCCTTGACGGAGTAAGAGTTAGAGCAGAGTAAGCCAGCTAAGGGATGCCGTTTTGCAGGATTTAAGTGTGGTCTTAATGCTAACCAAGGATATTACTGTTATATAACCCAGCTGTTCTGTGAGAACACTGTTGAACTCCATGAACAGCAAAATATTGTCACTGATATGTGTTTTTTTTAAAGCTTCAGCGTTGTTCCAGAGGATTTTTGCATCTTCTGTATCTTTGAGAGGTTTTAGTGAATGATCACAGACCTTCTGAGAGGCCTCTATAGATCTACAATGCTAAAGGTTTCCACTAAGTTACAAAAATGGATTTAGTTTCTTCCACAAACATACAGTTGAAATAAGTATATTAAGAACGGGTTAAATGTTTATCTCAAGTCTGTTTTTTAGTATTATTATCTCTGAATACAGAAAGATCACCCACCAAAGAAAAATGATTGYACTGCTTTTCTTTATTCTACGAGCAGTTCTAATAAATTTCTAAGAATTCACATACCACTATTAAACTTCAGCTTTCTTTCTGTCTTAATAACTGTTGGCAGTTTGTCAAATATTATAGTAAGTTGGGATATACATGGAAAATAATCCAAGCAAAATTCACTAATTGTGATTTCTAGCATGCGTTAAGGATCGGTGATGCTTGATGTCATTTTGTTATTTCTGTCTACTCTGTTGCGTTTTTCTAGGTTCCTTAGGACCAGCAAGCTGACAGAAAATTGTGGACCAAAAGTCAGTCCCTCTTTTAGAGATGTCCTAAATCAGCATATTTGTGCAGATTACAATGCAGAATGACATGGTAGTTCAAAGGTTGCATGGCACTTGGTTAAACCTGACTGAGAAACTTGGCTCCAACCATAGTTAATCAAAGCAGCTGCAAGGGGAGCTGGGCAGGGTCACTGCAGAAGCAGGTAGAGCAGGCAGCAGAGCTGTTCTGCCTGCTGTTCGGGGCCAAGGTTTACTGCAAAAGTAGATGCACGTTTTTGTGAGCTGACTTCTATCCTAAGTCACAAGAAGTGATGAGAAGGAAAAGTCCATTCTGGTTTTCAGCAGCATAACTATTATTGCCTTGGAGATAAGTTGCAAGTGACAAGTACCAATAAAAGTGTGTTTATCTTGTTGAAATAGGGTAATGTTTATTTGCAATAAACATTGATATGACACTATGAGATACAGTGGGCATTTGTCCTATGAAATAGGTGGGTTAATACATGCCTCTYTTTCAGCTCCAGTAAACACAATTCCAAAAGTAAAAGGCATTTTTTGCTCTTACACCCCAGGGGCCATCTTCCTGACCTCACAGTTGCCTATAGAGATCTTCATACAGTGAAGAGCCATACAGAGTGAGAGCTAAATGGTAGAGAGGTCAGGGAATAGTTTGCATTCTGAAAGCTTATGATTCAGTTCTGATTTTTTTTTTTCTATTTTTGTTCTTGTTGAGAAGAGCAAATGTGGAGTCTTGGTGTAGCTCTGATAGTTGTAGCTATCAAAGCCCTGCAAACTTCCCTGCTTGCTTTTGAGTTATGGATTCAAGTTGTCAACAGTCCCTGTGTTACTGTGTTAGTGCCTTGCCATTGCCCTTGCAAGAGCCAGGCAGAAGCACCTCTCAACTTGCAAAAATGTTTGAGACATAATTTGACCATTTCTGTCCTATATACTATCATCTTGTTTTCCTAATGTTAAAAATACAGTTATGGATTTTCGAAGTGATTGTTTGGCACAGCTAAGGTTGCAATTGAAGACTTTACACACTTTTTGTGATTTTAATGACTCACTTTTAAAATAGTCTTTCTTGCCTCTGTCATTTTATTTGAATGTGCATTTGTATTTTTTGCAAAGGTTTTGACTTGTATATGATGTTGAACCTTAGTGGGACATTTTGAGTGACATTAGGACTCTCTTCAGGAGCTTCCATAGSTTTTGTGGACTTGACAGTTGGTCATGTCTGTTTAATTTCTTGATTTTAAGATGTAAATTTTACCTTTTCAGTCAGAGATGGAGAAACCTAGAGGAAGGAAGAAAGCAACTATCACAGACTCAGAAGAAAAACTAGGCATAGATGACCTGAATAAACTGGGGCAAGAGCAGAAAGTCCGAGGTAGTCAACGGGGAAGGAAGAGACCTGCAGTTGTCTCCGAATCTGATGAAACACAATGGCAAGAGGAAAAAAGGCTAAAAGAAGATGTGATAGAAAGTGAGGACGAACAGAACAGCCCACCAAAGAAAGGCAGAAGAGGACGCCCTGCAAAAGCAAATAATGGGGGAACACCAAAGGAAGAACCACCAGCCAAGTCRTCAAAAAGGAGCAAAAAAAAGCAAACACCAGCAGCCCCAGTAGAAGAGGAGGAGGAGGAGGAAGAAAGGCAAACAGAAAACATAGAACAAAAACCAAAAGGCAGGCAAAACAGGACACCGAAAAGAACACAACAAAGGTAAGTCCATCTTCTTGTTAGCTGCACTTCTTTATCCTTGAACACTAGTTATAATTTGATACTTTGCAATTTGGGTCTTCCTCAAAACAGAGCAGAACCATCTGAAACTAGTACAGTTGAATCAGCACAGTCTACGCCACAGAAAAGACGAGGAAGGCCATCAAAAACACCACCACCACAGCAAAAAAAAGTGTAAGTGGTGAATRTTTTCTGAATTTGTGTTTAGTAAAAATTGAAATATACCTCTGTGCCCCAAAACAATTATTTACTGAAAATATTTCAGAATACTTAAATTGACAGCAACAAAAATAAATTACTGTGTGATTTCTAAAACGTTTTCCCTATCTGCTTCTCCTGGAGCATCCCAAATCAGAGCAATAGGCTCCAAGCAAAAATTTAACATGCTCCAGTAGCATATGTGTAGCTTGGCTTTTCTAGGAGAAAAGTCAGGAAATACCATGTGGGCCTCGAGGATAAAGCTTTTTGAGGACTTCAASGGGCAGAAAATTGTTCCTTATCATTTTGGATAGGGAGGAAGAATCAAATTGTTGCTTAAAGTGTTGTGGAGAATAGTGGTTCTCCCCTCTCCCCCTCCCCCAATTCTTCTTAAACTAATTTTCAGTACCTCTAATTTGTGGCCTCCTTGTAAGGTAATGTATTATCTACTTCAATTTTCCAAATGAATATTGTGCAGCATTCTATGAAGGATAATTGCTCTTGAAATTTTCAATGTTTATCTCTGAAATGAARTTGAACTTCATTTTCTTGTGCTTACTGTAGAAACTATATTTTTTTCCTTTATCTATGCATACAATATATGTAAATCTCAGGTGTATGAGTGGATAAGACAATAAAAACTGGGGTTACTGCCATCAATCTGCAACTCGTGGAGCAAATTTGCAAGATGCCTTTCCAGAGCCTTGTGTTGAATTCCTTTGGGCACCCCTTTTGCATGTGTCAAGTCTAGGGTTTTGTATTATACTCTTGGTTTATTAGTTTAGGCTTCCAGCTTCCAGATATATCAACATGTGTGTGTTCCTCTAGAAGTTTAGCGTACCAATTTTGGTCTAGCAGTTATTTTCCCCTATCCCAGTTCTTTGCCTGAGTAACTTTATTCCCCTTCAGTCAACTTCCAGTTTCACAAGGGGTCAGATGTGCTGCCATTCTGCAACCACAGTGCCCAATCCTTCCAGTCTTCTCCTAGACCAACCCCTTGTCTCCCAACTCACCGAAGAACCTCCCACTCCCATGCTGTGACRGGAGACACCAGGTCCCGGATAGGTCTCAGCACTGTCTTGGTTCCTGCAGAGGTCACTGCCATGTTAGCAGGGGAGCAGCTCAGCAAGCACAAAGGACATGCAGGTTATTTGTTGGATGACTTACTGTGTGACATCTGWCCAAGGTGCCCTGTAGTAGATACCCAAGTAGCTTTTGGTTCTCCTAGTGAAAACTGAACCTCCCACTGAGCTGGTTTGCCCCACGCTWAACACAGAATAAGCTCTATCGGTGTTAATGGCCTCTAGCAGCAGCACGTTGGTTCATTCGGGTGTACGGATGCAGCTCGTAGCACCTGCAAATAAATTGCCTTAAGGCCTCAGAAGTTGTTGGGTCTGTTTTAGACTTAATCTCAAAAACTTCTTTGTGAGTATTTGTGATTTTTTTTTTTGAGTTGAGATGGGGTTAGTCTTCATTTTGTGCTCAGAACCCCTATTTTAGACTGTTATTTTTCAAATTTGCAAGAAAAAGATGAGACAAAAATAAACGCTCAGTCTTCAAAGGGACTGCTGACATGAGCTGCTTGCAGCCAGACCTTTCCCCTGCCCGTGTATTATCTACAGGGGCTTTAGGGGATGGCACTTGATAGGCTGAGCAGCCCTGTGCTTTGAGGGAGACTTTTAACTCATCCGAATGCCTAAAGCTTTCTAGGTTGCCCTGTGATGGGTTGGAGTGTGTGGGCCAGTGAATCTGGGTCTTTAACTACRAGGTTATAACCTGTTGTGGTAGGTAACAGGGATGCCTACCAGCACCTGTGAGCTGGCTTATTTTATGTGAAAACATAAACCTAGATTGTGAATATTTCTCTTGATTCCTTTTCAAGGGTGTTGCCTTTATCAGCATCGTGAAAGACTTCAGCTGGGCTGTTCTGTCTTGTTTTTCAAAAGAGGTCATGTTCATTGGTGCTAAAGAGCCTACCTATTGCACTGTAATTACTACATGCAATTAGGGGATTTTATTTAGACTTTATTTAGCATAGTCCTCTGAACTGAACGTTCCTGTCACGTGTGTGGTTTGAAGGAGTCAGTGGGATGCACCAGAGCAGGGCAAGTTCCTTCTGCCCAAATGATGAGCAGTCCTAAGGCACGTGGCCATCATGGGACCATCTTCTTGGTGGTGGCCAGTGACAGGACAWGGGATAATGGGTATAATTTGGAAAAACAGACAGTTCTATCTGCACATGAGGAAAAACTTTTCCTGTGAGGGTGACAGAGCCCTGGCACAGGCTGCCCAGGGAGGCTGTGGAGTCTCCTTCTCTGGAGATCTTCCAAACCTGCCTGGCTGCCACCCTGTGCCTGGGTGTCCCTTCTGGAGCAGGGAGATTGGACTAGGTGATTTCTAGGATTCCCTTCCAGTCTCAACCATTCTGTGATTCTGTGACAGATGGTTTGGATCTGTACGTCACCCCTGGGGGGTTGTGTGGTACTTACCTGGGCTGGAGCTTCCGCTTTAATCGCGTGCACAGAAACGGTTCCATGAGCAAAACCAAAGCAATGTAAGAGGGACAATTAAGTGATTTACTTTCAAGCTGTGCTATTATCCAAGCCAAAATGCTAATGCTGATGCAGCAGAAGTTTTGGATACAGATCTGGTCAGATGAGTTACCTTTTGAGGCTAGTTCTTATTTTAAGCAAATAGATATTTTAGGATATTGTTCAGCTCCCTAATGGTTAACCAGCAAAGACAATTCTGGATATTATTGACAAATTATTCTTGGCTTAGCATGAGCTCGCTTGCATTTAAGTTCATTATAATATTAATTTCATAAATGGCAATATGGATTTTTCTCCATCTCTAAAATTATAGATGCAACTATTGAAATGTCATGGTGTGTACACTGCTGCAGGGGTRGAGCACATCTGTGCATGGAATTCAATGGATTGGATCTTCCAATAGATGGAAGAAAAAGGAAAAATAGTGTTGGTTCTCTAGCTTCTCCTGCTCTCCAGTGTCCCTGTAAAAGCAATACATAAAGCAAAATTCAGACCCCTGTTCTTAGGGGTTAAATGGAGTGCTTGTTCTTATGCAGAGTTCTTGACATTAGCAGGCCCATATTCAGTGAAACTGATGTTTATTTTTCTTTTGATTGTAGCCGCGCAGGACGTTCCAAACAGGCCTCYAGTAAAGAGAACGAATCGGGTGAAGAGATGGATGTATTTCAGAGTAGCTCACCTGTCAGYGATGACATTCCCCAGGAAGAAGTAACGGAAGAAGAGGAAGTTTCCACAATCAATGTAAGAGAAATGCCTGAGACTTTGTTTTGAGTGTGTTTTCTGGATTCCATCTTGTATTGATGTGCGGAGACTTTTTCTTGGTAACTTAGCCTTTCCCTTTTAAAATAAGAGGAGGTTCTTCACTGTCTGTGTCATAGTGGCACTGCACTCTAGTTTCTTAGAGAATCTGCCTTAGAAAATGTCAGTTATTGTCAAGCATCTTGAATCTTCTGTTTTGTGCAGCTTATTATCTAGATACCTGGATTGTGTAGTAACTCGTGAGGATTATTTTCCATACAAATCAGGCCCATTCTTCTTGGCTAGATCATAATAACAAGTAATGCTGCCTTGTATAAAGTAGGAGGTATTAAATAGTGCTGGAGTGATGACCATGGAATTTCAGAGCAGAATCTTGAACAAATTTATGTTTCGTACCAGCATGTGCAGATAAGTTGAATTCAATTTATATTTAAGTCTAATTAAACCATCTAAGTATGTAAAAACTCTGAAATAGGATGCWAGGTTATTTTTTTAATGCTTGAAAGATGCAGGACCAGTATTATTAAACACAGTTATCCCTTGGTCATTGACTGAGACTTGGACCCATAGAAAAAAACGAACAATGAATGATAATGCATACAGTTATTTGCACATAATTGTGAGAGTAAACATTTCTTGCTAGATACGTATTCTTGGATTTTTTTTTCAAATCTACAAGTTTACTCTTGTAAAACCACTTTAAATACTTTTTCCCAAACAGGTGCGTCGCAGAACTTCCAAAAGGGAAAGGCGATGAGTGACTGTGTGGTTACCGGCCTTCCAGGTGAAAACTTTGAAGAATGCTTTTAATATAAAGCTTGAGACTGAACGAAGCTGTTAGTGCACGAAATGGGGTTGCTGAAAAAAAGACAAAACCTATTTTACTTTTRCTGCCCCTGCATTTGCAGTCCCTAGGTCAAGCTTTAGCCACACACATGTTGATATCATTAACTGTGGATTTTTGTGAAGTGTAATGTGCGCTGGCTTTGTAGACATATGAACTAAAGAAGAAAACTGTAAATAGTTCTTTTTTAATGTTTCTGACTTCTAAAGTGCTTGTATAGCTTTTATCTGCGGCTTTAAACTGACAGTGCCCCCCTGTTTATTGGATCTATTGATTTAAAAAAGAATGGAGTTTGTTAAACCCTGATCTCGAGCAATATCTGTCAGTGTTCGTATTTGTACTCTTGTTGACATTTAACTGTGAAAAAATCAGTTGAACAAATAGTGCCACTTTCTTTTGCCGCTATTTGTTGGAAAGAAAGAAATGAAACAATCTTTGTTTCCTTTATGAATTTAACCTAGTGTTTACTTTTAGGCACCTACCTGTCATCAGAGGTGCTATATTACTTTTACAGTTGAACAATGTTGAAGAGAATAACACAAGAGATGCAAATGGTGAAAGAAGCTGTTTGACTCGTTTTACACCTCAGTATTGATGCCAGACTTTTCTGGACTTCTAGTGGCATTGAAAATTCAAAAAGGATTTAAAATATTTTAATTTTAAAAGTGTGTTATTAAATAATGTACTGAATACCCTACCCATTTTATCTTCCCTATCAGTTTTTATTAATCTACTGTATCAATAAAATTCTGTAACTGAACGAGTTTTTAATAGTCTAGTATGTTAATGTGTATAGATATTTCCTTCTGAACATGATGTTCACAAAGAGCAAATTATTACTACATTATAATATGAAATCTGATATATAAACATTAGTGAAAATACAGTTCTTATTACAATGTAAAGTTAATCACAAAGAAAAATTTTATTGATGCAGTGTGTCTTTATAAAGCTGTTCTTGAAAGCCAAGTGTTTTGTATTTTATAGTGAAGTTGCATGTTTATGAAAAATGTGTTGAAAATGGGATGTAATGTTTTTCTGGAAACTCGTATTTAGCAGTAGTATATGGTAGGTTGCCTCATGAGAGAACCTTCTATTGAGAGTTTATTGTACTTTTCTTTTTTGTGAGCCAAATTTTTTTGGTATGAAGAGCTAAATTTTCTTTTTTTTTGTTGTTGTTGAATGACCAGCTGTAGATGATTGCAGTCAAGGTATTCAAAATTTGAATGAAGCTCCATTTTTATTTTGTGCTACCGTAGAGAGGTTGGATTTTTGTTCCTTTAGATATAATCTGCCCAAAAAAAAAAAAAAAAAAAAAAGGAAAAAAAGAAAAAAAAAATGCTTAGGGCAGTATCCTGTATGCAGTTATACAAACAGTGTCTTTGAACCAAAATGTATAGGTTACTTCACTATACTTAGCCAAGCACATATTATAATTTCAACTATGATTTCAGGTGCTCTTCTCCCTGTGGTCCCTCTGGTTCCCTACAGTGGATAACATAGGAAAAAAATGAATTACTAATTTTTTATCACATTGAGAATTGAGCATTTTTATATAATTCATCAAGACATAAGTTATATTTGCAAGGTGGCATGTGAAGATTAGGGGAAAGGATAACACTGAAACATGGATTTACCGATTTCCAAGCTATATTATCATTACTAAAGAAACCTTTTAGACTTTTTCATTATGCGTTTTTGTTACTAATGAAAAAATGGTATTTTAAACAACCAGATTATTCTGCCNCAGTATTTAGCTTTTCAACACTTTTTCAGCACCCATAGGTATGGGGAAATGCTGCCTAAAAGGGCAAATACCGACTTTTTAATCGACTCTAAGGTAGTTGGAGCCACTAAACTGACTGAAGCTTTGGCAGTGCAAATGCAGGTTGTTTTTATGGCATAAAATGGTTGAAAGCTAGCTTTATATTTTCCTCTGACAGAATTGCACTGAAAACATTTATGGAAGATGTATCTTTAAGTCCATTTTATACAAAAATATGAAAAATTGATGTTGAAACTTCAGACTCTTGAGGCTTAATGTGCATAAACATGGTTAGGTTGAAATCACTGAATATTGATGCACATTACTGATCATAAGATGTTTCATGTAAATTTATAGTTTTGGGGTTTAAATGTTGATTTCTTGGTTTATAATATGTAAGTCATTATTTCTTGAGAAAAAGGCACAGCAAATATTTCATACTTATACTCAAACCTCTTAAGTTCATTCTCATCTCATATAAAGAAAATGAATATTTTATGTACTAACATTTTGAGATCTGCATACAGTAGCTACAGTAGAGTATAATTATGTATAAAGAGATAAATTGCTAACGTTCAGTTAGCAGGCTCTTCTGCAATGATAATGTTAAGTTTATAAAAATGTACTGTATTACATTAAAAAATCAAATTGAACTCACTGTAACAAGTTCTAGTATGAAATTTTTGAGATTGCTGAAGTATCTTGCTGTACTTTGCCCCAAGTGGAGCTTTTGTGTTACGTTTCCTTTTCTTGCTGCAGTGCAACAGGAAACTTTCAGCGATCTTTAGCTCATGTGTAAAATGCAAAGTGATTGTAATCTTGATACTAGTGTTTAGGAATCRTTCACTTTGATTCCAGAAGCATGTTTTTTTATTTTTTTAACTTGTCACCGACTGAAATTATTAATATTTAGAACTAGTTATAATCCACTAATAGAGAAAGAAATATATGAAACTACTTGAAAGCTGTAGTATGAGTACACCTTTTCCATCTAGGATAAACTAAATATCTTAATTATACATGACTCTGCCAATTGACTTTATTTTCAAGCAAAATTGAGTCTTTTTTTCCAATATATTGACACTTGTTGTTTTGACGTTTCAATCTATGTGAACAGAAGGAAAAAAAAAACAATTAAAATTTGCAACAAAAAAGCACTCGTATTAAAGACATTTCCACTGAATATGAATATGTTCAATTTGTGGCTAACTTCCAGAAAATGTAAGTACTTCATCCTGGCATAGCATCTGTCATCTGAGCTTATCCAAAAGCTGCACACGGAGCTGTGTGTGTGCAGTACTCTTTTGTTACTACTCTCTTGCGTTGATCTGTTTTGAGAGATGCAAGTTGGCTGCTGTTGATACAGACCGGCTTCAGATCCTGCACATTTTCATGCCTGTGGTTTTGTGGGATTAGTCCTTAGATGGCCTTGTCCTCGTCCAATAACCAAATACATGGATATGTTTGAATATTCTAACACTTCTGCACACAGGGCATGTAATCTAAGAAGTGTATGTGTGTGTAAACGTGTACCCAAATACCTGCATGGGAACGTTTTTGAGAACCTGTCTTTCTGCATTAAAATTATTTCTAGAGATGGATGCATCTTTGCCTCGTCAAGGTAGGTACTTGTAAGTACTTTTTGCCATGGATTTTTATAATAAATATGTGCAAGTGCGACATTGTGGTTCTCTAAAGCAGCAAAAGCACAGACACATCATGAAGATGAGTTCCTGGCCATCATCTAGACTGGCTTTTTGGTTTACCAGTGTGAGGAGCAAAATGATAAAAATAACTTTACCAAGACCTGCTTTGCAGTGAGCAGCAGGAGAAGCAGAAGAGCCTGAGAGCGTGTGTTTCTTCCTAGGCTTACAGATTGCTGCTCCAGTCCTTGCACATTTGTTGGAGGTCACCTTCAGAAAAGATAATTATTAATTTACATGCGATTTCCTAATGTTGACAAGTGACTTATTCCATAGACATTAACTTCTTCCTTAACTTAGTAGATTTATCCAACATGTTTAAAACATTTGATCACTTGGGTATGGTACATATTATGGTATTTTGTTGCTATTGGAGAAATAAGAATCTGGATGTTGTCAGCTGTGATAGAAGCACAGAACAAAACATTAAATTGCTTTGAATTTCTTCACCTTCCGCTGTCTAAAGGGTCTGACCTGCACAGTGCTCACCAAGCACTGTGACGTTTGCATATGCAGAATAAACAGTATCATACAGCATGTATATGCAGGAATTAAAATGTTTCACAACAGCATTTGATTCAGTGCCTCGCTACAGTTCTGATCTAGTTTTTAATAGCGCATTCACTTCTGTAATGAAGATTTACATTCTTGGGGGCAAGCAGTGTTGTCTTCATCATCTGTATGTTCAAAGAAGGAAGAAAGGCTTGAAAATAGGCATTGCCACAGCCCTCCCCTGTGCGTCAGGACTTCAGTCATCGTGTGATTTCGGGGATTAGTTTTAACATGAATAATTTACACGATGGAGAAGGGATGTGTCTTCTAAGGGGTGTGTGTGGAGGTATGGAAGGTTTCGGAGGGGGTTTGTTTGTTTGTTTTGTTTTTCTTTGTTTTTCTATCCTTTTTTTTTTTTTTTTTTGTGATATTTGTGTCCTACCTCACCAAGGCAGATACAAAGAAATACAGTATTTTGAAAAATCAGAGCAGTATTACTGAACACACTTCCTGCTTTTCATGCTGACTTAATCAGATTAAGGTCACTATTTAAACATGTATGTATATGGAGTTCACCAACTTAGGCAGTTGGGTCTGAACAGATCAACAGAACTAAAGGTTTTGGGTATCAGCTTCTATATGTCAGCATTTCTGAAAATGTCTATAGACAATCACTTATGCAGTGAAACAGAACATGTGTTAAGTCAGTAAGTCTTAAGTTACTGCTTCTAAGCATATTGTAATAGAAACTAATGTGTAACACAACACAGCGTTCTTCTAACTTGATATAGCCTGGTTGGGAACAGCTTTATTCTTAGGTAGATAGGTTTTAAGTTCACAGGTTTCTGTGTTCCTTGTAGTATATTATATATTGGTTATACTCAGCAAAACTGAAATACTTGTAAACTAAAGCTATTTTGAAGAACAGAAGAATTTTTAATTATATTTAATAAAAATGTAAGGTGTTAATTTTAAGCAGTGATTTCTGTTTATTTTTACAGCTGTATCTGTAGATGCAGTAAAATGAATCTGTTAGGCACCAGAGAAATGCTAGTGTCCATAGCCCAAAGCATCTTGAAAGGCTGCAGAAACTGCCTTTGTGTTTTTGACAAAAATCAGCTGCTGCTGTTCCTCTATGAACGTTTCTTACACAGAATAAGAACAAGAGGAGGGAGAGCAAAAGGTTCAATTTACCTCCTATTTTTTTTCTGTCTCATTCCATAAAATTTAGGTGATGGTAAAGCATTGATGTATAGTGATGTGTTAGGTGAAAAAATGTCATGATAGAAAGGAGTTATTAATCTGGTTCTAGAGAGATGAGTGAAGGATAGGGAATCAATAGGAATGAATGGGATAGGGAAGATGTTACCCAGTGCCAGGTGACCAGTGAGAGAAGCTCTCCATTCAAGAGGAAACCCTAGATGAGGAAAGTGTAGGCAGTGACTTCTTAAGAGAGAACTGAGGATGTGCTGCTTGCTTGGATTTGGAGAAAGACGAATACAGAGCATATGTAAAGATACTCACAGGGTTGAGATTTAATTTCCATGTGGATTAATGGTAAGTGAAGCTGATACTACTCGCCCTAAATGTTATCGATGAGGGACTTGGATTAATTGAATAAAGATAACTGTATTGGATAGGCTTGTCCAGATAGCAGTGGGACCTTCCCTTTCATTCTATTATTTTCTCCAAGTTCATAGGCAGGAAGATGGTAAGGTAACAATTATTTGAATGCAGTATGAAGTAAGCAACACTAAAAATGAGGTAGGAATGGCTAAGATATAAAGAAATAAAGATATGAAGAAAGATGACTCATAGTAAATCATGACCATCAATAATGCTCTGCCTGCAYTACTCATTAAGTCTTTCAGCTTGAGCTTCATGTGA